ATGCAATGGAATCATTTAAGTTTTTTATTTTTAATAAATTTCCAAAGATGTTAGAAACCTGTTTTTTGCTTTGCCATTATGGTGTATGGAGTGTAGATTGATGTGGGAAAAAATTAATTTAAAGCAGTTTAACATAAGGCAGCAACATAACAAAATGTGAAAAAAATGAAGGGGTATGAATAATTTCGCAAGGCACTGTGTGTATATATATATATATTTTTTTCTTTTTTTTCTCGGAATCATTACTCCAGTCTTCAGTGTCACATAATCCTTCAGAAATCATTCTGATATGCCGATTTGCTGTTCAATAAACATTTATTATTATTATTACTATCAATATTTTAAACAGTTGAGTACATTGTTTTCAGGATTCTTTGATGAACTGAAAGATTATAGATTATAAAAAAATTATAGATATTAATACTTTTATTTAGCAAAATATGCTTTAAATTGATCAAAAGTGATGATAAAGACATTTATAATGCTGTCCTTCTGAACTTTCTATTCATCAAAGAAACCTGAAAAAAATTCTAATAACAATAATAAATGTTTTTTGAGCAGAAACTCAGAATATTGGAATGATTTCTGAAGGATCATGTGACTGGAGTAATGATGCTAAAAAAAATCAGCTTTGAAATCACAGGAATAAATGACATTTTAAAATGTATAAATAGTAAATATTTAAAAATAAAATAGTAAAAATATGAAACATTTGTTACTGTTTTTGCTGTATTTTAAATCAAATAAATGCAGGCTTAGTGAACAGAAAAAGAGAGACTTCTTTAAAAAACAGAAAATCTTACTGTTTCGACCGGTTGTGCACATATAAAGAGTGTGTATGAAATAGGTATATACTGAAATGTTCAAATATTTGTTATATTTATATATCTGTACTAAAATAACAAAATATAAAATAAACAATTAAAGCATTAGTACAGAAAATATGCATACTAAATATAAAAAAAAAAACATTTCAATAAGTGTATGATTATACAATAAATGTGTTCAGTTGTAATACTCTTAAAAATCACAAACATTCATAAGCATAAAATGGAAGCCTATGGGGCGAAAGTATATGATGGATTTAGCAGAAATATGCAGATTGCATAGTAGTATAGTAGTGACCATGAATTATTCATGTTTGAGCTGTAAAGCTAACAAAATCAACCTTTTGAAGTGGGTTTACCTTTATAGCTTTATAGCTTTTTGGCCAACTTTTGGGCTGATAGTTAAAGCTGTAGTTAAAGTTGTATTTAGGTAAGCAGGAATATTGATTTGCGTAACCTTTTAGGTTAATCTATGAAATCAAGCCTAATATGCAATTAAATCACATTGGTTATTTAACACTGATACCTTTCTGGGACAAATGGGAGTTTTAGTTCTGGTAAAAGTTGTGCTCTATGTATTGACTAGCGCTAATTCATTGGGGTTATGTAATCAGTGACCCGCTCCTGTGCCCCTTTACATCAATGTAGTCTGTGCCCGTCTTCTCAATAAGAATCAAAAATAACTGTGAAACTGGTGCTGCATCTTTTGCACGTCAGTCAGTGAAGTATGCACTAATTGGGATTCATTTAGTCCTAATTACTAATCCATGCATGCTGTCAAACCTCACGCTTGACCAGTGAGGAGAGAAAGTGACGGCTGAAACACACAATGCCAGCGGTCTGAGGCAGAGTTGGCGAGAGTTTTGTGCCTCTGGTGTCAGGCTTAAATGCCTGTTATTAAGCTGTAACTTTTCTTTTCATAACCTTTGCACTGCTCCATTTGTCAAATTGTCAGACAGATCCACTAGTCTGGTGTTTTCAGATGAGGGTTGTACAGATGCTTTGAGTATGGCCAGAGCCCACGGGACATCCTTTGATTTGGCACACAATGCCATAGAAAAAAAAAATAGAAGACAAAAACATGCCACTAAAGCATATACAGTGGGGAAAAAAAGTATTTAGTCAGCCACTTAAACAGTTGAGTACATTGTTTTCAGGATTCTTTGATGAACTGAAAGATTATAGATTATAAAAAAATTATAGATATTAATACTTTTATTTAGCAAAATATGCTTTAAATTGATCAAAAGTGATGATAAAGACATTTATAATGCTGTCCTTCTGAACTTTCTATTCATCAAAGAAACCTGAAAAAAATTCTAATAACAATAATAAATGTTTTTTGAGCAGAAACTCAGAATATTGGAATGATTTCTGAAGGATCATGTGACTGGAGTAATGATGCTAAAAAAAATCAGCTTTGAAATCACAGGAATAAATGACATTTTAAAATGTATAAATAGTAAATTTTTAAAAATAAAATAGTAAAAATATGAAACATTTGTTACTGTTTTTGCTGTATTTTAAATCAAATAAATGCAGGCTTAGTGAACAGAAAAAGAGAGACTTCTTTAAAAAACAGAAAATCTTACTGTTTCGACCGGTTGTGCACATATAAAGAGTGTGTATGAAATAGGTATATACTGAAATGTTCAAATATTTGTTATATTTATATATCTGTACTAAAATAACAAAATATAAAATAAACAATTAAAGCATTAGTACAGAAAATATGCATACTAAATATAAAAAAAAAAACATTTCAATAAGTGTATGATTATACAATAAATGTGTTCAGTTGTAATACTCTTAAAAATCACAAACATTCATAAGCATAAAATGGAAGCCTATGGGGTGAAAGTATATGATGGATTTAGCAGAAATATGCAGATTGCATAGTAGTGAAAGCATATCCATGAATTATTCATGTTTGAGCTGTAAAGCTAACAAAATCAACCTTTTGAAGTGGGTTTACCTTTATAGCTAGTGACATTTTTGGCCAACTTTTGGGCTGATAGTTAAAGCTGTAGTTAAAGTTGAATTAAAGTTGTATTTAGGTAAGCAGGAATATTGATTTGCGTAACCTTTTAGGTTAATCTATGAAATCAAGCCTAATATGCAATTAAATCACATTGGTTATTTAACACGGATACCTTTCTGGGACAAATGGGAGTTTTAGTTCTGGTAAAAGTTGTGCTCTATGTATTGACTAGCGCTAATTCATTGGGGTTATGTAATCAGTGACCCGCTCCTGTGCCCCTTTACATCAATGTAGTCTGTGCCCGTCTTCTCAATAAGAATCAAAAATAACTGTGAAACTGGTGCTGCATCTTTTGCACGTCAGTCAGTGAAGTATGCACTAATTGGGATTCATTTAGTCCTAATTACTAATCCATGCATGCTGTCAAACCTCACGCTTGACCAGTGAGGAGAGAAAGTGACGGCTGAAACACACAATGCCAGCGGTCTGAGGCAGAGTTGGCGAGAGTTTTGTGCCTCTGGTGTCAGGCTTAAATGCCTGTTATTAAGCTGTAACTTTTCTTTTCATAACCTTTGCACTGCTCCATTTGTCAAATTGTCAGACAGATCCACTAGTCTGGTGTTTTCAGATGAGGGTTGTACAGATGCTTTGAGTATGGCCAGAGCCCACGGGACATCCTTTGATTTGGCACACAATGCCATAGAAAAAAAAAATAGAAGACAAAAACATGCCACTAAAGCATATATATAATATAAAAAAGTTTAACAAAAATATATAATATATATATATTTTTTTTCTTCTTCTATGGCATTGTGTGCCAAATCAAATATATATATATTATATCTTTTTGTTAAACTTTATTTATTTGATTTTGAATTTAAATGGAAAAAACATGTGAATTTGATTCAAAATCATTTTAAAATTTAAAAAAAATTTAAAAAATGTTTTGTTAAATTATTTAAAAAATTTTAAGATTTAATATATTTTATTATAATATAGTTGGATATATTGCAGCATTTACTTTTAGCCCACAGCCCTCAATCAAGTTTGGCCCTTCATATTAAGACATTTGGGCAACTCTGCTTTATGATTATAGAGATTTTAACAGATATGATTGATAATGCTGAACATACAGCTTTTGGCATATTAGTGGAGAACCAGGCATGAGGGACCATTTTTCTGCTAAATAATTTTTATTTGAAGTAATCAGTCTATATCTGTGAGGCTGATTTTGTGGGTTTAAATTGTGTGTGTGTGTGTGTGTACTGGATAGAGTCTAGTGCACTGGAGACTTGCGTGACTAAGCCAGCTGGCATTATTTTGTCTGTCCCAAGGGTTTAACTCACTCACAACCCATCCTGCCCTCCTGATCTCCCTCCAGCTGATGCTTTGAATTTAATTTTAAAAGGCAGCCTGACTAAACACTTGTTTGGGAGATAAAACCAGCCGATCATTCTTAATTAAGTGGTCATTTTTTCATTTGACCTCTTCTGTAAAGACCATCAGTTCAGTACAAGCTCAATGAAACCAAGAAAACATAAGCTTACACGGTTTGCTATTGGTCAGTTCATTTAATAGAGCAGAGGTGCCCAAACATTTTAATATGACGGGAACAAAATGTAAATTGTTTGAGGGCTGTTGGCCAAAAGTAAGTGTTGCATTATATATATTAACTATATTATATTAAAATGTATTACATTGTATTATTATTTTTATTTTTTTTTGCTTTGCTGATGAACTGATTCGTTGGATCAGTGTTAGATAAAACAATTCCAAATGCATGTTTACAGATCAAACCTCCACAAGTATCACAGTGAATAAATCTCAGGGTTTCATAAGTTATAATAACCTTAAATGACAGTTAAACATCTTATATAAGCTTTAAAGTTGCTGCCCAGATAGTGTCCCATACGTCAGCGCTCCGTCCCAATGATGGTCAGCAGCCTATGACATATGATACGACAGAGGACAAACGAGGCCATGTTGAGAATGGATTATTACTGTACAGTAAGCTGCATTAAAATAAATATATAAAAATACTGCATATTTTATATATATATATATATATTTATATATATAGTGAAATTTGAATGGTAGTGTATATACTAGTGCTGTGCAAGTCTTTAAAAAAAATTTATTTCAAAAATAATTTTTGCATGTTTGAAGTTTCTTCAAAGCCACATTTGCATATTATACAAAGCATTTCCAGCATTAGCATGTTAGAATGCCATTCTGAATACCTGAGGTACGAACACTGTCTGCTTCTGCTGTTAGTGAGTCTGTGAGGCTGAGGGTGTCGATTTCTTATTCTAGAAACACTAAACAGTGTGTGAGAAAAAGATTCAGTAGATGATAAATCTCATTTTCACCCCAGCACTTGGCTTCTCACATAGCAAGCTTTTTTTCTCCCCTACAGTAAGGATTAGATGTCTTCTACCCAGGAGAAGGAGACAGTCTGAGAGAGAGAGAGACAGAAAACCGACAAAGATAGATGGAGATTATATACTATAATATGAGACTTGAACAAGTACATCCTAAATCATAGGCATTTAAAACAGTATGCTAAAAGTGTCCAAATGGATACTATTTCCAGTGAGGTTTAACGTCCCATGTGCCACAGAAGACATCGGGAGTGTTACATGACCTAGTGCTTCTTTTTCAGATTCTTACATTTAAGATGAAAACTGTAAATTGCGGTTGGACTTTTACATTGTTACAAAAGATATCCATTTTAAATGAACTAGTATTTTTAACAGAAATATGTTTTATATGACAGGAGCAGAAGACTAAGCTGTCACCAAACCCATCTGCCGTCTTTCAAAGCAAATCTAGGATCTTCAACATATGATCCATCAACGCTCCGCACAAAGATCCACATTCACGTCTGATTCAGCCTTTCACTAGAAGAGGAGACCATTTTAAAGAACTGTCGAGAGACACCTGAATGTTGAGAAACAAGTTATTCTGAGAGACTAGGATCGTCAGAGGAGAAGAATGCCTGCGGATGAATAGAGACGCGTTCAATGCAACTGAAAAAGCTTGTGAAAAGCAAAACCAGTAAAATGGGATTCTCTAAATCATTCCACTGAGGGAAATTACAGAACTAGAGGACGTTTGCTGGAAATTTACACAAAGTAAAATCTATGCAAGAGAATGTATGCTTCAAATGTCAACCATCTACTAGAAGGATTTGTTTGTAATACAGGTTTAAGAGTGATGGAAAGAGTGTGTGTGAGACATAAACATGGTTGACTGGGAAAGTTTTCAGGCCTCAATTTTTGCTGACCTTACCCTGTCCCAGCTGAATGAATATCTGCATGTTTCATAATCGTTTTATGAATTAACTGAATATGCAAAATTTCAAAAAGGAACAAAATGTAATCTGGTAACTCAGTGTCTGGGTGTGTGTGTGTCCTGTACAAGCCTAGTTAATGACATGCTTTTGTATATTAGTGATGTTGGTCTGCCTTTATTGATCTGTTAATGTCTGCCTGAGGACGGCAGGTGCTTCTAATCGCCATTTTCTCGCTCCAGACCCTGCTAGCCCTTTATAAACCCATATAAAGACTAGAACATTATGCATCTTTCACTGAATTGGAGGCTGTCCAAGTTTTTGTACATTTGGTTTAGACATAAATGGACAAAATACTTGAACTGTTTAAATAAAAATGACATTCTTTAAATTTGTTTCCACGTTATTTGACTGAGAGCTGAATAATATACAAATTATATTGAATGGTTGTGTAAAAAAAAAAAAAAAGGGGGTTTTAGTAGGTTTTAGTCCAATGTATGCAAGTCCGTTTCCGCCACTGAATAAAAAAGGTCATTGCGACTTTTTATCTCACAATTCAGACATTTTTTCTCGCAATTGCAAGTTTACATCTCAGAATTGCGTCATATAAACTCGCAATTCTGGCTTTTTTCTCAGAATTGCGAGATATAAAGTCGCAATTGCGAGAAATAAAGAGAGTTTATATCCCACAATTCATTTTTTCTTGCAATTGTGAATTTGTATCTTGCGATTATGACTTTTTTCTCAGAATTGCGAGTTATAAAGTCCAGTTCTAAGCAGAAAAAAAGACCGATATGTTCTCAGAATTGCACAATATAACTCGCAATTGTGAGTTTATATCACGCAATTCTGAGAAAAAAAAGTCAGATCTGGCCGTTTATATCTCACAATTCTGATTTCATTTCTCACAATTGCGAGTTTACATCTCACAATTCTGAGAAAAAAAGTCTGAATTGCGAGTTTGTATCAGGCAATTGTGAGATGTAAAGTCTTTATTTTAAGTTTTAAAATAAAGTATTAAAAAGTTTTTGTTTTTATTCAGTGGCGGAAACGGGCTCCCATACCAATGTGTATAACATTAACAAGTATTTACAGCAAAATGAAAATCATCTCCTGGTCAAAATGACCGGAAGACAAACAGAAATATCTTCAGCACAAAAAAAAATACTTTTTTTAATTAACCAATTAAGCAAAACTTAATTCTGAGTGCTTGAAAGTTTATCCTGTTATTGTTTTGCTATGTGACATTCAGTGTTGGGCAGTAACGCATTACTTAATGCGTTACTGTAATTTGATTACTTTTTTAGTAACGGAGTAATTTAATGCATTATAATTTTAATAAATAGTAATTAGAGTATAGTTGCAAGCCGAGGTCTCTATACGTTACTGCCGCGTTACATTGCTGACAGAATGCAGTGTTTTATAATCTAGAGATTGTAAAAAGGATGTAGCACACGCAAGTCAAGTGCCAGTGGATTAGAGAGCTGCTCCCGCGAGACCCGATGCAACAGCAGCGCGGCAGAAGATGGACGAGTGATTTGTGAGATTGCGATGAACTGAGATGTCTTTTAGAGATTATAGGCCTAAATGCAGCACTCTTTGCTGGCATTCTGCCATGCCAAACCATGCACGTAGCAGCCATTTGCTTTGTTTAAAAATAACAGTGTTCTGTGAATGTTGATGTTTTAATAACAAATATTTATCGGGAGTGTGTATGCTGGGATTTCATAAATGAAAGTAACGTAACTAGTAATGTAACTGCTTTTGAAATAAAGTAATCAGAACAGTAACATAATTACTTTAAAAAGCAGTAATCAGTAATCTGATTACATTTTCAGAGTAACTTGCCCAACACTGACATTTCAGTTGTATTGGCAGTTGGAAAAAGAATAGAACAAATCAGCACAGCTGGATACATCTTTGTGGCAGATTGACCATTTTTAATACAAGAATAGCTTTTTTTGAAACAATGCGAAGGAAAACCATTCAGGAGTTCAGTTAGACAAGTGAAGACTTTAACACTGAATTAACACACAGCAACACATTCTCTCCCATCCACACAAACACACCAGAAGAAGTTTCTTGATGTGTTTAAACACAAGGACACAGAAACCGATGCTAGCTGTATGACACAAAGTAGCCCACCAAACCAGAGGACACAAAAGACAGCTTGTTTTAGCAAATACACAAATGCCTCCTGTCTATCTGCACATTTTTCCTCAATGCCCCCAAATGACAGAAACCGTACAAAAAAAGAAATAAAACTTGCACTCACTGCTGTTCAATCCTTCATAAATCCCACAGCTGTACGAAAATGACTCATATTCATATGAAAACAACAAATTATATTGAATGGTTGTGTAAAAAAAAAAAAAAGGGGGTTTTAGTAGGTTTTAGTCCAATGTATGCAAGTCCGTTTCCGCCACTGAATAAAAAAGGTCATTGCGACTTTTTATCTCACAATTCAGACATTTTTTTCTCGCAATTGCAAGTTTACATCTCAGAATTGCGTCATATAAACTCGCAATTCTGGCTTTTTTCTCAGAATTGCGAGATATAAAGTCGCAATTGCGAGAAATAAAGAGAGTTTATATCCCACAATTCATTTTTTCTTGCAATTGTGAATTTGTATCTTGCGATTATGACTTTTTTCTCAGAATTGCGAGTTATAAAGTCCAGTTCTAAGCAGAAAAAAAGACCGATATGTTCTCAGAATTGCACAATATAACTCGCAATTGTGAGTTTATATCACGCAATTCTGAGAAAAAAAAGTCAGATCTGGCCGTTTATATCTCACAATTCTGATTTCATTTCTCACAATTGCGAGTTTACATCTCACAATTCTGAGAAAAAAAGTCTGAATTGCGAGTTTGTATCAGGCAATTGTGAGATGTAAAGTCTTTATTTTAAGTTTTAAAATAAAGTATTAAAAAGTTTTTGTTTTTATTCAGTGGCGGAAACGGGCTCCCATACCAATGTGTATAACATTAACAAGTATTTACAGCAAAATGAAAATCATCTCCTGGTCAAAATGACCGGAAGACAAACAGAAATATCTTCAGCACAAAAAAAAATACTTTTTTTAATTAACCAATTAAGCAAAACTTAATTCTGAGTGCTTGAAAGTTTATCCTGTTATTGTTTTGCTATGTGACATTCAGTGTTGGGCAGTAACGCATTACTTAATGCGTTACTGTAATTTGATTACTTTTTTAGTAACGGAGTAATTTAATGCATTATAATTTTAATAAATAGTAATTAGAGTATAGTTGCAAGCCGAGGTCTCTATACGTTACTGCCGCGTTACATTGCTGACAGAATGCAGTGTTTTATAATCTAGAGATTGTAAAAAGGATGTAGCACACGCAAGTCAAGTGCCAGTGGATTAGAGAGCTGCTCCCGCGAGACCCGATGCAACAGCAGCGCGGCAGAAGATGGACGAGTGATTTGTGAGATTGCGATGAACTGAGATGTCTTTTAGAGATTATAGGCCTAAATGCAGCACTCTTTGCTGGCATTCTGCCATGCCAAACCATGCACGTAGCAGCCATTTGCTTTGTTTAAAAATAACAGTGTTCTGTGAATGTTGATGTTTTAATAACAAATATTTATCGGGAGTGTGTATGCTGGGATTTCATAAATGAAAGTAACGTAACTAGTAATGTAACTGCTTTTGAAATAAAGTAATCAGAACAGTAACATAATTACTTTAAAAAGCAGTAATCAGTAATCTGATTACATTTTCAGAGTAACTTGCCCAACACTGACATTTCAGTTGTATTGGCAGTTGGAAAAAGAATAGAACAAATCAGCACAGCTGGATACATCTTTGTGGCAGATTGACCATTTTTAATACAAGAATAGCTTTTTTTGAAACAATGCGAAGGAAAACCATTCAGGAGTTCAGTTAGACAAGTGAAGACTTTAACACTGAATTAACACACAGCAACACATTCTCTCCCATCCACACAAACACACCAGAAGAAGTTTCTTGATGTGTTTAAACACAAGGACACAGAAACCGATGCTAGCTGTATGACACAAAGTAGCCCACCAAACCAGAGGACACAAAAGACAGCTTGTTTTAGCAAATACACAAATGCCTCCTGTCTATCTGCACATTTTTCCTCAATGCCCCCAAATGACAGAAACAGAATGCAGTGTTTTATAATCTAGAGATTGTAAAAAGGATGTAGCACACGCAAGTCAAGTGCCAGTGGATTAGAGAGCTGCTCCCGCGAGACCCGATGCAACAGCAGCGCGGCAGAAGATGGACGAGTGATTTGTGAGATTGCGATGAACTGAGATGTCTTTTAGAGATTATAGGCCTAAATGCAGCACTCTTTGCTGGCATTCTGCCATGCCAAACCATGCACGTAGCAGCCATTTGCTTTGTTTAAAAATAACAGTGTTCTGTGAATGTTGATGTTTTAATAACAAATATTTATCGGGAGTGTGTATGCTGGGATTTCATAAATGAAAGTAACGTAACTAGTAATGTAACTGCTTTTGAAATAAAGTAATCAGAACAGTAACATAATTACTTTAAAAAGCAGTAATCAGTAATCTGATTACATTTTCAGAGTAACTTGCCCAACACTGACATTTCAGTTGTATTGGCAGTTGGAAAAAGAATAGAACAAATCAGCACAGCTGGATACATCTTTGTGGCAGATTGACCATTTTTAATACAAGAATAGCTTTTTTTGAAACAATGCGAAGGAAAACCATTCAGGAGTTCAGTTAGACAAGTGAAGACTTTAACACTGAATTAACACACAGCAACACATTCTCTCCCATCCACACAAACACACCAGAAGAAGTTTCTTGATGTGTTTAAACACAAGGACACAGAAACCGATGCTAGCTGTATGACACAAAGTAGCCCACCAAACCAGAGGACACAAAAGACAGCTTGTTTTAGCAAATACACAAATGCCTCCTGTCTATCTGCACATTTTTCCTCAATGCCCCCAAATGACAGAAACCGTACAAAAAAGAAATAAAACTTGCACTCACTGCTGTTCAATCCTTCATAAATCCCACAGCTGTACGAAAATGACTCATATTCATATGAAAACAACACAATTAAGACTTTTCTTAGACATTCTTTGCCCTAGTGAAAATGGACATTTAATCTCCACCCAAAGTTCTCATATAAGTCCATGATTTCATATAAAACTAATCAGCTTCTCCAAATAAATCCTGCTCGATAATGACATTTCAGAACAGAAAAACAGTACGGTTAATTGTTCAGTGGCTCATTTAATGTCTGCACTTCTGATTAAAGAAATGCCTAAAACTGAAGTTCTGTCATCATTTACCCAACACCATTATAAACAACATGAGGGTGAGTAAATTATTTTGGGTGAACTATTCCTATAAGACTAACAAAAGCTCAATGGCATCACATTAACCAATGGCAAAGCAGGTTAATGTGATCCGGGGTTTCATTAGCAGAGACTGAGTGTCCCAGTAAAAAAGTAGAATAATAGAATAATGTCTACTGTACCTGATCATTAACACTGTACTGTACTGTTACATATACTGGACCAGAGTTCATAAATATCACAGAATTCATAAAGGAAACATGAAAAACGAATAAATAGAGTGATGTAGCGATACGCAACAAATGATGTTCAGGCGGCGTATCAAGCTCTGTTTGGGTTCAGTACCCTCATAGATAACAAAGCTGTTGTCGTAATAATGGCTTACTTCTATTATGACAATGGCAAGTAAGAGGGCATTTACACCTGTGATTGGCCAGCCCTTGCACATTCTCCACCTTTACAGAATGTGAGGGGGAGGAGTCTGTGTATGACAGCCCACCTGTCTATTTGTAGTCAGATGCCAAGGAGTGAAGTTAGTCAGCGTGGCTTTCATCCTTCACCATGATGCCCATGTACCTACCAAAGACAGAGTTTATGGCAAAGTTTAAAATAAATAAAACTGCAATAGTAATGATGATGCAGGGTTCCCACACATTTTGACCAAAGGCATTTGAAAAGTTGTTTAAGATTTTTAAAGAAGAAATTGTAAAAATCGTATTATAGAAATTGAACCAATAAAGGCGTATTTAGAGCCAATTAAATATTTAAAATCTGAGCATAATTATTTACTAGAGACATTTCAATTTGTATTTATATTTATTTTTTACATTTTAGATTTATTTTTTAAAATAATTGTATTTATAGAAACTGCACTGATAAAAGGCAATTCAAAGCAAATGAAACATTTAATACAGAGCATAACTTTATTAGAGACATTTCCATGTCTATTTATATTTAATTGATTTATTTTTGTTTAGTTTTATTTAATATTATTTCATTGTTTCCAAATGTTTCCAATTGTTCAATGACCATGGGAACCCTGATGATAGATGCCGAAAAGCCTAAAATTAGGATGAGCAAAATGACCTATTAGTCAGAAAATCACAGGTGGGAATAGAGCTAATGGCCTGATGCACATCCATAGCCGATATCTCTCTCGGAGTTCTGTGGAGACAAGAAGAGAGAAATGAAACGAGGATGGGAAAGAGAGAGAGAAATCTCCTGGTACATTTGCTATCTTGGTATAATGGGTTATTGACCTTTGAGCATTAATTGAGAGGTCTGTGAGTCTTGTCAAACTGCTGCTTTCTGTTAATGTATGAGACTTCGATCAGTTCCTGCTTGACTGATCATCATTTAAAGCGGTGCTCTGTAAAAGGCAGTTACCGAATACTGTATAAAAGGCTGATGAAATATTCTGCTCAATCTGTGAGTGTGTGTCAGGCATGTGAATGAAAGCAGATGTGCTGAGTAAGTAGAGCAGCACTGAACCAATCTCTTCTCTCTCAGGGCCGGGCTCTGCTGCTCTACCACTCAAATAAATCAGATTTCATGAGCTATTCTCAGTGCTCTGATAATTATATACTATCATAAAGCACTTCCTCTCACAATCAAATCACATTAGACAAAGTTCAATGCACAGACTTCTTCAAAATTGACCATGAAGTAATGTAGCAAGCTCTATCTGAAAAGAGCAGAAGCGCGTTGGAAACTACTCTTTACTCTGAATCATGCTGGTCTGCCCATCTGTCCCGATTAATCTTGTACTGGCATTCGGGCGGATGCACTGACCTGTTTTGTTGGGATTTCCCATGGGCATTGGCCAAAGACTCCCTGAGGATTTCACTGGCAAACTGCTCCACAGCCTATTGAGAGTTTTAGACAACGTTCAGCATTTTGACATGTTAAGAAATGCATTATCTATTGTAACACCATGTCATACCCAGGACAAAAAAATAAAAATTTCTCACTGATGAAAAAAGAAAAATTAATTAACATATTTGATGCTTAATAAACAGCTATGTGGACTGAAATTTAAGACCAATGAGATAAAAGTTGGAGATGCAACCATTTACCATAGAACAAAAAGTTAGTTAATAGTGCAAAGGCCTGTTCACACCATGAACTGTAACTATAATGATGACTACATTACGGTATTAAAACTTTATAGTTGTCATTCATGATGTGAACAGCTCCATTAAGTAAAATTTTCTCTCATAAAATAAAACTAATTACTCTTACAACACTTACCTTAAGAATCATGGTCTCCACGACTGGAGCAAAAACATTCTTCTCCACCTCCACCTGCTGCAGTGTGACGCCGATCTAACACACACACACACACACAATATCATTACATGTATGACACAGCAGAAAGTCTGGATACAGGTAGGCAGACAGACAGAAAGAACATTTCAGTCTCACTCACCTGCTCCGCCGTGTCTCTGATGACCTGGGTTGATGGGCAGCGCCCCAAGAAGAACTTGGGTTCCTGTTCGGCCTCTTCCTGTTCCAGTTTGATTTTGACCTTGGCAGCATCTATGTCTTTCACACTGATGATGTCAAGAGGCTTATCATCCTCCTCGTCAGGCTCTGCCTTCAGAATCCTCTGAAGTTGCTCCAGACGTTGTGACAGCTCCTCACAGCCTGTCAGAGTCGAGCTACACTCTAACACACACACACACACACACACACACACACAAACAGTGTCAGTGTCAATATAAATGTCTTACTGTACAGCAACAACTCCTCACAAGCAGGAAGCAGAGCTACACAAACCAACCAAAATCTAATAATACTCTTGATCTACACTTTAGCTCTGTTCCCATTTCCAAACATTATTATTATCATCATCCTCATCATCATTATTAATAATAACAAATAGTTTGTATTTTGCCTAATAATTATTAGAATTAGTTACTATTACTACTTACACATAACTACTGAAGAACATTTACGCCCCTGATTCTAGCACAGCCTTATCCATGAAAGTTGCATCAAATGTCTTAAAATGCTCTCTAGGTAGGAAGCTCAGTAGGGATTGAAGCAGAGCTGATGTTGAATTTCAGCTGCTTATGCCCAAGTTGAATTCATGCCCAAGTCTGAATACTTATCATCTCATCATTACACAAGCTAATGCACCATCACTGGAAACTACAGAGAGGGCGAGATAGAGAGAGAGCGAGAGCGAACACTACTGCATTGTATGTGCCAAGTCTTGTGTAAGTCAAAGTTCTGGATAACTGAGAGAGACACCGGCCATGATAAATTAACCTCAACCAAGGGTTCAAAACACACACACAAGCATGTGTGCCGTTACATTATTAATAATAACAAATAGTTTGTATTTTGCCTAATAATTATTAGAATTAGTTACTATTACTACTTACACATAACTACTGAAGAACATTTACGCCCCTGATTCTAGCACAGCCTTATCCATGAAAGTTGCATCAATCAATGTCTTAAAATGCTCTCTAGGTAGGAAGCTCAGTAGGGATTGAAGCAGAGCTGATGTTGAATTTCAGCTGCTTATGCCCAAGTTGAATTCATGCCCAAGTCTGAATACTTATCATCTCATCATTACACAAGCTAATGCACCATCACTGGAAACTACAGAGAGGGCGAGATAGAGAGAGAGCGAGAGCGAACACTACTGCATTGTATGTGCCAAGTCTTGTGTAAGTCAAAGTTCTGGATAACTGAGAGAGACACCGGCCATGATAAATTAACCTCAACCAAGGGTTCAAAACACACACACAAGCATGTGTGCCGTTACATAAACTACACACTCACCAGGTTCACTGTCGATCTGTGTGAGTATGTCCTCGATGGAGTCCTCCTCTATGCGCTGAGGTTCAGGGTCAGGGGGCGTGTAACCACGAAGACGGCACCAGCGGAGCACCTCTTTAGTTCTGGGTGGAGCGAGGGCCTGAAGCCGAGGGGTCCTCTCTAACAGATCAGCACACACACGGCGCACAGCCACTGCTCGCTGAAACTACACAGAGAGAAAGAAAGAAAATAAACTAACACAATCCAGCAGAGTTTACAGATGCACTCAGACTATATGAAACACAAGCACTCCTGTACCTCTGCAGCTCTGCGTTTGCCAATGTTCCATGAGTAGTACTGATCCACAGAGGTGGCACAGAACGGATGAGAGTCCTCATCTGTGAAGAACACACCGACTTTGATTAGTTTGGACTAGTGTAAATTGACTCTTTTTATTCAAATGACTAAATGACTGGAGAAAATCAATTGTTTCAAAATTGATAATAACAAATGTTTCTTGAGTACCAAATCAGCCTATTAGAGTGATTTCTGAAGGATCATGTGACTGGAGTAATGGCTGTTAGAAATTCACCTTTGCCATCACACACAGGGATAAAATAATTTTAAAATATATTAAAATAGAAAACAGTTATTTTAAGTGATGATTCACAATATTACTGTTTTTACAGTATTTGTGATCAAATAAACGCCTCTGTGCGTAAGTGACTTCAAATATCAAAATATAAATTTTTTTTCTCTGACCCAAAACTTTTCATTTAGAAAATGCTGACTATGAAACTAAGTCAAACTTACTTTTCTCAGGGACAATCAGAGGGAATTTCTTCACGATGGCCGTCAGAAGTTGTGTCATATTCTCTATGTGCTCCGTACTAAGAGAGATTTTTTTTAAATATGTACACAACAAATTAGGGCTGTCACGATATTAGATTTTTCACACCACAGTTATTGTGGCCAAAAGAATTCACGATATCGATATATCGCGATATATATAGAAACCTTGAGGAATCAGCCAAATACATTTTTGCTGTGTTTATTTAGATTTTCTTTTTACCCAATGAACATAAGGATACTGATAAACACAGGGCACATGCATTTTCACTTCTTCAGGTCACAGCTGACCTGAGACTCTGGCTTTCTCTGTTTTCTCTCTTGTTATTTCATAGGGAGCTTCAAAGAAGACACTGTCAAGTTCAACAGTATGATGAATAAATATTAACATCAAAACTGATAGTTTAACCTGTTAACTTGCATACCCATGTTTTAAATTATGCCGGCGCCAATGAAGTCATGCAGTTAACGTGCTTCTAATTCAGTATTAATGTGCATCTAGAACGGACGCAGATGAGGCATTAAGTGCATTGCACTACGGCCAACTAAACATTTTACAGAGTTTAATGTAGCAATGTGGTCGCTCAGTTTTTCAATCGTGTAATAGATTTGAACAAAGAAATCAAGCAGCTACGCACATAATTGGTATCAATTGATATCATCATGTGCATGTATCAGGTCACTTAATTTCCAGCGATATCATCGACTTGATTGCACAGATACTATTTCAACTGAACTGGATGATGACATCACTAAATTCAATAATAAACTGCCTTTAACTGAAAATTGCGTGTTTACTATTGTCATTTTGCATTATTAACACACTATTGTTCTAATTAATGCTGTACAGTTGCTTTTACACAATCTGTATTGTTAAAAGCGCTATATAAATAAAGGTGACTTGACATGAATTGGCCATGACTTGATTGCAAACACAAAAATTAGACGAGTAAAGTAAACGCGGTACTTATTAAAAGAATCACCCCTTTATTTAAATATATGAACACAGGAAACCGCTGATAACGGGTTAATGTAACGTTAAGCATTCCATGACTTGTAAAATAATGGTAACTTACAGTCTGTATAATATTGAACATGGTTCTTCTCGGAGTATGCCTAGTCTTCTTGTTTGACAAGTGTCAGCGTTAAGGCACAATACTGCCACCTGGGAGGTCAACCAGGTACTGGCGCTGGAGTAGGCTATTTGCATGTCCTGTTAACATAAGTGTCCTATTCCGGTATATCCTCACACCCTAAATTAACACAATGTCAATATTTCATGATTTGAATATCATGGTTATCGTCAATACCGGTATATCGCGACACCCCTACAACAAATATTACAAGCTTTCAACATATTAGCATACATTTGAATTTCCGTCACTGATATTGCGCAGCAGTGGTGCTCCATTTATTTATATTTTTTAGTTTTGTTATGTTTTTGCAGATGACTGACTACATTGAATCTGATGATGAACACTGGGAATTACAAAATAAAATAAACAATAAATATACAACACATCTTTCTATTGCATTTTACTCCCTAGGTTGTAGTGTTATGAGTCTGAATTGGTTAGAAAAATTGCTCACTCACTTAGAATTGGTCAGACAGATCAATGAATTAACTATTTATTCACTCAAGAAACTGCAAGTCATTACTTATGGTGAAATCCAACTCAAAATGTCATGAGAATTTCATCAGTATTATTACAGACTAGTTTACTGTGGCGACACAATTAAAAAATTCTAAATTGTCAATGTGCATGTCTGCAGGTGTCGATGCCCCTCTGCAGAAACAGAATCCTTAGGGAAAAACTGACATTCAGACAGATCAGAAATGAGAGACTCAATAGTGTGTGTGCTTCTTACTTGATAAGTTCATGAGCTGTAGATTCTATGCCTTGTTCTACTTTAATAGTAGCAGCTGCTTCTGTGGATGTGGGGGTTGTCGGCATGGGACCAGAGCAGGGTGCTCTAGAGGCTGGGGCAGATGTTTGGGGTACTGGAGTCATACAAGTGGAGCTAACCAAACCTGGTTCAGTTTTAACTATGTAAAGAGACCAACACAGTGGAAATCAGTAGACTGAATGGTTATACGCATAACTGCTTGACATTATATCCAATATATGTGTGTGTGTGTATGTGCATGCACATGTGCATGTCTCACCTTGAGCTACAGGTGTGGATGCTGGGGAAGCAGCTCCACTCGTGGTTGTGTTGCTACTAGATGCACCTTTAGCACCAGATTGCATGACTGTAACATGATCAAAAGAGACAGTAAAGACATTTTTAACATTACAATCGTTTTCTACTTCAAAAAATTTTTCTTTTTAATTTCTTTTCATAAGAAATACTGAAAAAGGTATAACTGTTTCTGTTAAGCAGCACAAGTGTTGTTAACATAGGTAATAATAATAAATGTTTCTTGAGCACCACATCAGCATAGTAGAATGATTTCTGAAGGACCATGTGACAATGAAGACAATGGCTGCTAAAATTTCTGCTTTGCAATCACAGAAATAAATCAGTTACTTTAAATTGTAATCATATTTCACAACATTTCATACCTTTGATATATCAAATAAGCCTTGGGGAGCATATGAGAAGTTCAAATATGAAAAAATCTTACCAACCCCAAAACTCTGAATGGAAGTGTATAGGCCTACATAAAATACTATAGTGGTAGTATTATATATCTGGATATATATATTTTTTTCTTTTTTTGTATTTATTAAAGACACAATACATGACTGCTACAGAGAATGAAGGTAAGTGCAACCTGACGCCTATTTTCTGGCAAGCATTGTTATTCTTCACAAAAGCTTAATTGTATGTGTCAAGATTCACATTTACAATTTATTTAGGACCAATACTAATTTACTGTTAACTACACATCAATAGCATCCTCTAGGGCAGTGTTTCCCAACCTTTTTTTAGTCGCGGCACAATTTGGAAATTTTAACAAACTTGTGGCACCCTACAAAATTAATTGTGTTACAATATTTGAATTTCTAACTTCGATGTGATAATTTGAAAAGTATAGATATTCGGTACAACAGGGAAGAACTGCAGAATATAATGTCATACAGATATTTTTTATATTAATAAAAAAATTTGTCCATCAATGGTGGCAATCAGTAGACTAATTTCTAATGAAGAGACCAATTTATATGACAGATTTTAATGTAGGCTTTTATACATATGTAAACATTATTTAATTACCATTATAACTAGCTATCTCACACATTTTTTTTTATTTTACAGTGGGGTAATTTTGGTGCAGTAGCACGAGATAGCTTGATTTCAAACTTTGAATTGAATAAAAAATGACAAGTAAGCAATAAGTAATAAAATAAGAACAAATAAAGAAATTAATAATGATAGCACAAATAAAAAATTATGACAGGCCTTCGAATTAAATAAATTGCTTTTTAGTTTTTCAGGTAGGTCTAACAGTAGGGTTAAGATATTTAACTTTTACCAATTATCCAAATAATGTTTAGTCCTAGAAAGCTATTATTATCAGAACACGCGAGCATAACATAGAGGTTAGCAGATCAATGAATGAGAGGGCAGCGTTACCAGAGTTGCCCATATACCACACCATGTTACAACACAGTAGGGCTATTGCAGACAGAAACAATACTGTACTACATCGATGTTTCCTGTTGGCTCAATTTTTTTAGTGGACTTTGCTGTTCCGATGAGCATGAACGGTATACAAGTGGAGCGACTGAGCGGAGCGCGCACGCATAGAGCGCCGCGATAATACGCAGAGCGTCACACCACGTGAAAGTGAAACCTGAGCGGTGAACTAATTTTCGGCAACCAAAAATTCGGTGCATCTCTAATTATTGGCGACATCAGAAATTTACATTATATAATAGATGCTTTTTTGAACATTTTAGCCATTTAAAAATATTAAACAATTATTTTTTAGACGGCAACCCTGCTCTCGACAGACGGCACCCAAGGGTGCCGGAAACACTGCTCTAGGGTACTGCTAGACCTGAAGGGAAAATCTTTTCTGGATCGTCCCGAATGTCTCAGAGGCACAAGGGTAAATTAACTTACTTACTTTATTATTTATGGACCATTATTATACAAGCCATAATACAAAGTGTACAGTATTGATGTAAATATAGGGTCCTCTGGGAAGCCATTAGTAAAATAATTGTTTGTAGATTTACTTTAATTGCTACAAATGCTACAAAAATTGCTTCATGTTCTTCTGATCATAGGAAACCAGCCCCAGTACAATGTGCCTTAAATAACAAGAGTGGATAAGCAAGGTAAAGTACTACAATAACTACTACATCCTAAAACAACAACGTTTTAATTTTACATTTGAGTATTCAATATTCTATACTAGTATTCCATTTCTATAGTATTACTTGAAACCTAAATAGACCTTCTCTAGGAGGCTTATTTTATTGCCATTTTTAATAACAAAGATAAAATAACAAAAATAATTATATATATTTATTGGGAAATTTCTCATAATGTGAAATAAAATTTTTGTCATACTGCCCACCCATTGTGCAAATTTTGTAAAAATAATCTTTAAGCCATGACTAAGGTAGCATTAAAGTGTTTTTTATGTTCTGATTCATGTAGTTCCTGTTGTTTCTCATAAATGTTAAGAGCACTCAAGCCTTCCATTTCTCAATTACTGAATCCCGTAATCTCACAATTACTTTCTTCCATACTTCCATCCATTCTCTATCACTATGACAACAGCTTGAATACGGTTACAGGAAATGGTCTGTCTCACTGTTCTGATGTTCAAGAACTGCACTCATTCAACAAAACAAACTAAACTAAGGCAGCCTTTGCTGCCATGGTGCTGCACAGATCAATCTAAAACAAAGCTAGCAACCAGGTAAAGAGAGCACAAGATGAGAAAATGAAAACTGTATCTGACAGGAGTGTGTCTCTGGAGCTCTGTTCACCTATTACTGTCATCGCTGATGAATGCTGAACAAAAACAAACATCTCTGATAAATACAATCTGGCAGGCTCAACACGGCTGACAAAAAATGTCAGTCCATGAAGGCTGGCAGAATTAAAACTCCTTAACAACCCAACACAGCCCACCATGACACATAAGAGTGCCTTGCTTTAGATCACAATGGTGATGAATCATAAATCACCACTTGTAGGGACTCGAACCTGCAATCTTTTGGTTGCCATCCAAGATCTCTAACCACTAGGGTTGGGTACCGAAACCCAGTACCAATATGGCACCTGTACCTATGTAACCATTATGTACTAGAACCAAATCAGAACACAGATTTCGGTGCCTCATTTCGGTGCCATGCCCGAGCGATCGATTGAAATATTTGTCCTCTGGTTCTCCAAAACGGACGTAAGCATCATCATCACTGGCACCGCACGTGAAAAATTATTTCCCGACTGAGAAAATGCATGTCAACTCAAGTCAGAAAACTGTAATAAATACAAATCCAACAAATCTTTGTAGTAACGAGTGTGTCCATGTTGTTTTCACATTCCGACTTAAAAGCACAACTCGGGAAGTGAGAGCATCCGAGGAGCGCGTGAATGCAGTAATTACACTTGCTCTGATGGCAGCAGGTAGCCTTCCGTTAACTAAGCTAAACAAGCTTAAATTAAAATGCCTAAAGCTAAACTTCCCTTGTATTCACATTTCTAAACATGTTGTCCAACAAAAGAGAACATTATAACCTTTTTACTCCACAACACCAGTCAAATGCTTCCTTTGTGATCTGATGTGGCTTCTTGTCACAGAATGAGGCAGAAAATATGTTCCATAGGCTACTTTAAAAAGAATACATCGATTAGCAATGGATTATAAATATACTTTATTATGAAAATACCTGATATGGCTTGAATAACACAGATAAACTATATTGTCGTAGTCTAGCGTTTATTGTCTTTGTTTTATCATTCAAAACGTTTTTATGTTCTGTTTACTCAGTTACAGCTATAATAGAGATGCCTTTATCCATATAAGGGATTTCCTGGAGGGTCATGAATTCCGCTACTTCTGTGACTGGATATGTGGATTTTCTGTGCGAGGGTGCCCTCTGGCATCCAGGACGAATGAAACAGAAAGTATCAGTTCAGGCACCGGAACCGTTTTAGAAGTATCGATTTGGCACCGGTATCGAGAAGAAAAAAAAAAAAAAACGATACCCAACCCTACTAACCACAAGACACCTCTCCAGGTTTTGGAATGGAACTAGAACATGAAGCTGAAAATAAGAAGTCTAACTTGACAATATTACACCGACTCAAAGCCTTCAAGACACTAGAGATCAGGAGTGTGAGTAAGGCTGTGTGGGTATCAGAGAAACGGGGTGCTGTTACCTTTGCCACCAGGCATCAAGATGGTCTGCAGCCCTGAGGAACCACTGCCCACGCTGAGTTGCTTCAGCTGATTGGCTGGGATGGTGAGAACTGTCTGCTGGGAACTGGACTGAGCTGGATGCAACTTCAACATACCTGTGAATGAAGAGAATCATGGTGACAAGTGAACCAAAAAAAAATCAACAAATAAAGCATTTTAAGCAATTAAATCAGAGTAGGGGTGGACGGCTTGCATTATCCAAAATGTGCAATGTAACATGGTTATTTAACATGTAAACCATTTTTCGTTTCATTTTTCTATGCACATATTGTGATCGTTACTATGAAATATGATGTTATAAGACTTGACATACCACCCACCCCTAATTCAGAGAGTTGATAAAGATTTATTTCACTCTTGAAGCTAATGGACAGAGACCATTTAGCCAACAGATGGTAAAAAGACATTTGTGATCCAATTTAAATGCCTGTGAGAGTCTGTGAGAGCTTTAGCTGTTTGTCATTCTAAAGGTGCAGTCACACTGAAGATTTTTCAGCAAAATTTCACAGGCCATTGTCTACTGTCGATAGTGTAGCGATGTATGAAGCACGGTTCACACAGAAGTCGCTTTAAAACCAAGCAGCTTTCTGTTTTCTGAAAATCAGTGAAATTCCAGATTGTGTGTGCCTGTTGTAGCATTTGGACCAATCAGACACACATTTGTTCATTAGATTTAACAACTTTCAACCATAGGAAAAACATAATGCCCATAAAAATGGACTCTTCTCTAATTAATTCATAGGAAAATCTTTCTTTGAATGAACACACATATCCTTCAGGTCATTGTGTATGTTGTTACTGTTCTTGTATATTGTATTTTGTATTGTATAATGTTTTATGCATGCTTATGATAGAACCACTTGTTCATGTAATCTTACCTATACCATGTTTAGTATCTATGAATTCGCCTTCTAATGACCTAAATGAGAGTGTATATTATATGTTGGTACATAGGCAATATATTAGTGTTCTAAGAATCTTAAGTAGGTTTTGCATCAACACCCAATCGAATTACATATGCAAAATACCATGCTCTGAGACAAAGAGTCATAAACTTTCCCTCCAAAAGTTCAAGGCACCATTGGCTATTTGATCCCCCAGATGTGTGACCTCGATAGAGGATAAAGGCAAACACATCAGCGACCCGCCCCCAGTCTGCAGTTCTGTTCGATTCTGAGAAGATGGGGATGCTGAGCTAGTCTTCTAAGGAGACCCTAAGTTTATGCCAGGCCTCGGCCTTGACTTTCCATTCCCCAAAGATCCTAGGATCTCAGCTGATGTCTCTCTTAGCTCTTTTTCATGTTCCACTGGGAAAAAACTCCCAATCACCACTGAGTCAGAACATCTTTGGAATTCATCACTCTTCAAACCCGGAAGAACGTGATCGCAAGTCCAAAACCTTGAAACCATCAAGACTTTCATCCGAGACTGCATCCGGACACTCGTCAACAACCAAGGCAATGCAAGTATCGTACATTTAACTAAACGAAACAGAGGTTTAGTATAAGCTATAGACCCCGTTATAAATGGCGCTGATGGTTTTACTCAGGTGGTTAGCTGACTCTTTTCATAGCTTCATTCTCTGGTTTTCCTGATGGTTTCATCCATCAAGTCTCATTTGCCCTTTCCCCATGTATAAGTGATTGTATGTTTGTTCGTTTAGATTAGTTATGTGTGTTAGCGTTTAGTTAAAGGGGTCCTATTATGCTCTTTTACAATGTCTTGAATTAGTTTTGGGGGTGTACTAGAACATGCTCTCATGCTTGGTGGTTCGAAAAATGCATTATTTTTTTACATAATTTACATTATTACAATAATAGTAAATAATTAAAGCTTTCTCCCCAGCCTTGCACAAACGGCTCGATTAGTTCCAGGTTTGATGAAGGCCTGCCTTCCGAAAAACGAAATGTGATGTGATTGGTTAGCTATCCCAGTGCGTTGTGATTGGCGAACAGCTTAGACGTGTTTCAGTACTGCCACGCAAACTGTTATACAGTTGAATTTATTTTTACCATAGTCCAGTGTTTCCCAGGCGGCATATATATGCAAACTCATTCTCTGCCAGCAGGAGGCGTTGTTGGAGTGGTAGAGATCAAGGTTTCCCCGGTAATGGCTGTTCACAAAGCAGCGCTCCGCTCAAAAAAACACTGCTTTATCAGACATTACATGCAAGATTTAATGAAAATAACATCCAATTTTCTGAAAACAGTCGGTTTCCTTCAGAAATACAGTTATATAAAAACACCTGCACTCAATGTATGGGAAACACTGTAGTCTCATAATTGAAGTGTAAATTCTGCAGATTACATCATTGTCCAGTATTGTACCGTCAGCAATTTATTATAAAAACGTTTTCATAATTGTAACATACATATTTACATACATAATTATTCAGGTGCATGTGTAATAACTTGCGAAAACTTGAGGCTACAGCAGCACTTCTTCTCTGTCGTCATCTTGCCTGATGCACTCAACCAAGCGTTCTAACCATGACCTCGCCCCTTCCCACCCCCCAACCATTCGAATTTCCGTAGGCGGGAATTATTTTAATGATATTCTAATGGGCCGCTTTGTGATATCACAAAACCCGGAAAACAAACGCTGTAGTCCAAACGAGCCATTCCTTGTAGTTCTTGAAAAGGGATTTTTAAAACGAAATATCTCCCTTTGGAGTGGACTTTGAGATTTATATGTTTGAAGATCTTTTTTATGCCCAAACATACACACTACACACTGACTAAAATTCAAAAAGTGAAAAAGCATAATAGGACCCCATTAATAAAACTTTTGTGCACAGATTACATGAGTTTCTGATCCTACTTGTGAATAATGTCCCTTTACGATTTTGATCCTTGCTACATGCTCTAATGCATTATTAGGCTACTGTAAGAAGGTTGCTTTCTGTGGCCAAGAAAATATCCTTTCTTAGAGTTGATATGAAATTACACTAAACGGTCGCTGGACGAACAGATTAGTTGATGCCAATTTAATTCTGCTACAGTTACTACTGGCAGCTCATAAAAATATTGTTACTAAATTGTAATTTATCATAATAATTGTAAGTAATCATAATTATTTATATACATTTCCCTTTTGAGCTAATTTGCTACATTGTGAAAGGTGTGATCATACATTTTTTTTAAACAAGGGGCAATTCAAGACAAAAGAAGGTTACCTGAGATGGCGGCAGCAGGTTTTCCGCTGACCGTCCCTCCACCTATCAGTGACGCTGCAGTGACCAGTGATGGGCTGGAGCTTTTGGCCCCGCCCACAACAGACGACCCCGCCCCCTTCGACAGGCTAATGAGAGGCACGTTGATGCTCTTTGCAACTGTGACAACCACACTGGTGCCAGAGGCAGAACTCTTTGCTGTGTTGGCGGCAGAGCTGGCACTCTTGGCTGCACTGATCACTGCAGCTTGATTGGCAGCTACAAGCACAGGGTGCTGCGGTGGCGCTTTAGCCGTCTGAGGGAACGGCTGAGAGGACGATCCTCCAGTGGCTTCTGCTGACTGTAGGGGGGAAATCATTAGAGGGGTTATAAATGCACAAAGTGACTTCAATATATCAACTTTGTGATGGAGGCACAACACAATGAGTTTCCAGCGTGAACACTTTTCATCTCAGTTGAAAGCTGAAGTCAAAGCTACAGAATAATCTAATCATGGAATGTGATTTTAGTCCAATAAGACTTTCGTAGGGAAGGAGCTACACTTCTTGATCCGAAATCTCCTACCTGTTGAGAGGTGGGTGTGGCACTGGGTGTGGATGGGGTGGAGCTTGTGGCAGTGATGACACCTCCCGTCATTCTCAGGGTTGTTGTGCCAGGTTTATTCAGGTGACTTGCTGCGGCAGCTGTTACCATCTTCACTGAGCCATCTGACAGCTTCACCTGAGAACCTTGAGACCCACCCGCCACCTGTCAATCAAACATTAAAAGAAAGAAGTTGAAAACCCCAGACCCAGCAATCTGAGAAATATATTATTCCTACCAAAGGCGCTGTTCTTTACAGTGATAAATGAAACCGTAAGCTTTACAATCACATCAAAAGGTAAATAAGGCACATTCTATTGAACAACTACAATCTACAATGAGATTCTCCTAGTCTCTTTTTAACATTGTGTTTTTGGCAATAATGGACTTTAATATTCATGCCAATACCGCTTCACTGGACTTAAAAGGAGAGTGAGAAAAGACTGCAAGTATCTCCCTTACATAACAGCATATGCAGTGATACAGCAAGAAATCTTTAACTTGTTTCTCACACTCATTCTCACATGTTTTTCCTTCTAAAGTTGCTTCTCTCTTGCTCTTATGCCCACAGCAAATACCCTACATCAAACACAAACACTCCACCGTGACCTCCAGAGTACTGAAGTAGATCAGGCATTGATCAATATGTACGGTCATCTTACTGCATGCAAACAACCTCTAGTAGCTCTAACACATCAGAGGAGGAGGTTTGATTTAGTCTCACCTGTGCTGAGGGGGGATAACGAGAATTATAACAATAAACTAATGAGCAGAAATCATGGTGCCCTATGTGCTCCACTTTATGAAGAGAATTATGAGGGTATGATTTAAATGGATAATTAAGCAACAAGAAGAAAGCTAGAAAGAGAAGGAAGGACGGAAGAGAAGCCCATGAGAGTGTATGTTTACAGGTTGAATTACAGCTCAAATGTCAGCTGCAGGCATACTCATTAGCCTTTATCGTATAATCAGGACACACACACACACACACACACACACACACACACACACACAGAAAAGGCTCTAGAGTGTGAGCTCTTCAGAAGAGGCATTGTGTAATACTAATGAAAGTGCAGCAAGTGAAAGAAAGAAAGAGTAGAGATAAAGCAAGATCAATGAGATAGAGAGAGAGCATGAAATCGATGATGAAGAGAGAGGAAATAATGGCAACCCCTGAACACTTTTGCTTTTTACAGTAGGTAAACTGATACCACTCCTTCTGAGTCACTGAGTTTGAGTGTGTGCGAGATTTAACATTTTATTTCTATATTTTATTGAAGCTAAGTTATTATTGTATCTCTGCTGCATTGTTATCTATAGTTCCACGGCAAAAATTGTGAGCTTGTATTCTGAATGTAATAAAAAGTTAAAGTGGTCAGGTACTGTGAAATAAAGACAAAACATCTTCCATCTGCATTATCTGCACCTAAAATAAAACCTACAGCATGACCTGAACATCTGTCCAATCCAATAAGCTCCAATCTGTGCAATCCAATAAATTATTATAATATAATATTCTAATTTAAATAAAACTAATTGTATTAAATATTGTAATATATAATTTTTTATATCAACGAATAATGTATAAATAATACATTACATATCCCTGTAGCTATACAGAAGAGGGGGAAGATCAAAGGAAAGAGATTTTATGTTGTTAAATCCTTACTTTGTTACACACCTGAGCCAATATGGCTGCCTTCTGTCCGGCTGTGACCCGAATGGCCTGCTGGGTACTGGACGCAGGACTGGATGCCACGTGACCACCAGAGCTCTGTTTCCCAGAGCCCCCTGGCTGGCCAACCAAGAACGTGCCCTGAAAAAAGTGACTTTGTCAGCATAACCCAAACTGACAGTAAAGGCTTCTGGGATGTGTGTGTGTGCGCGTTTTAACATACTAAAAAGAGGTCATTCAAATAGTATGTAAGAGTTACTGAATGAGCCTAATTAACTCTAATGTAAGAGTACACACATTCAAACTAAAATTGTTTAGATTGAACTAAACAACTAGTATGTCAGGATCAATTCTAACAGTTAGTGCGTGTCATAAATTATTTACAGCAAAGACTATTACCTGAGGAGTCTGTTTGAGGATGTAAGAAGTGTAGGATAAATTGGAAGGCAGGCTGCCAGACCCTGAGGACCCACTGGAGGAATGTGACCCTCCAGAACCAGAACTCTGAGAGTACTGGCCTACAGACAGAGATAAACCTAGTTAGATGTTTATCTGAATACAGAAAGTGACAATGACAATGTTCCCAGATTCATATGACATATGTGTCTGACCTGCACTGTGTGAGGCTCTCAGAATGGCTCCCTGTGGGATCAGTAGCAGTTTGCCTTTGCCCGATGGGTTCTTGCTGTTGGTGGTCAGGTAGAGTTTGGTGCCCGGAGGCAGATTAGCCAGGTTTGCCAGGTTATTTGCTGGTAGTTGTAAGGTGGCCATAACTAAAAAAAAAAAAAAATAATAATAAAAATCACCACAAAGACAATAACAACAAAAGAGAAACATATTTCAGGAAATAGTACAGTGTCAGAGAATAAAGGTTGAATTTGGATTAGGTAAGTTATCAGTGAATATCAACTTGATCTGTTCCTCATTGAAAGTTTTTGTCCTTGACAGCACATGGCAGCTATATGTTTTCCCTGTACATACACTATCGTTCAAACTCTTCATTTTGAAGAATTTAATCCTTTTATTTATCAGAGAAGCATTAAACCAGGGCTGTCCAACCTTGGTCCTTGAGGGCCGGTGTCCTGCAGAGTTTAGCTCCAACCCTAATTAAACGCACCTGAACCAGTTAATCAAGCTCTTACTAGGCATAGAAACTTCCAGTCAGGTGTGTTGAGGCAAGTTGGAGCTAAACTCTGCAGGACACCGGCCCTCCAGGACCGAGTTTGGACAGTCCTGCATTAAACTAATCAAAAGGGACAGTAAAGACATTTATATTACAAGAGGATTTATATTTAAAATAAATGATGTTGATAAAATAAATGCTTTTGAACTTCTATTCATCACAGAAGCCTGAAAATTTTTTATCATTGTTTCCACAAAAATATTAAGTAGCACAAAAGGTTTCAACATTGATAATACAAAATTTGTCACTTGAACACCAAAACAGCATATTAGAATTATTTCTGAAGGATCACATGACACTGAAAACGGGAGTAATGGCTGTTGAAATTTCAGCTTTGTCATCACAGACATAAATAACATTTTAAAATGTATTCAAATAGAAAACACAAATTTTCAATCTTGAAAATTTGCAATACAATATTACTTTTTACAATATTTTTGTACACAACTTAATTTTGGTGTAATCTAAACTGACATTATAAGTGGACTCATAAGATGCAAAAAATGTGTAGAACATGGAACCTATACAGAACATACAGCAATACAGCTTTAAGTCTATTTCATATACCACTAACAAGCTTCCTATATGCATCCACATATGGGTGTCTTTAAAATTAATCAAACTAAATCCTGTTTCCCCCTGTGGTGGCATGGAGATACAAGTGTCTGACTGAGTAATGGTGTTTCCGAATGGTTTAGTCAGCATTGCGGTACAGCCACACACACTTAGTTCAGCCCTGTGAAATTCCCCTCTCAGCACAACATCTGCTGATCAGCCTGACAAACACTTCTCCGAACACGCAAACAAACGCACAATCTTGTTCTTTCACCCACACACACACACTACTGTTCTGAACATCTTAATTAGCATCCCTGGCAAGACAAATGCTTTTTGAACTTTGCGCACATACACACACTTCACCTTCTAAAAATGAATACATGCACACTTTTATTTCAAGATTCAGATACGCATCTATGCATATCCACAAACAAACACCTCTCCTAACCACAATCAAAAATGCTTTTTTCACATTCATTGGACCAAAATCTCATTCCACATAGCTGCATATTAAACATCAAGTTCTAATTGGTTGAGACTGTCAATTTATTTCGTTTTCAGTGAGGACAGAAAAACCTGATGCTGACAACTTGTCACGTTACCCTTGGTTATGATTAGTTATCTCGACTTGTTTAACCCTTGTGTGGTGATTTTTTTTTATAGTAATAAAAATCATTTAGTTCAGTAAAAGAACAGACACTACAATTAAAAACTGAACGTGGCTGCTCAATACAGCGTGCCGAATGACAGTCGCATCACAGATCAGATTTCATTTATCCAGTGAGGAGAGTGAGTCGAGCTGACTGACAAGAAGAGTGGTGTGAGACAGACAAGACAATGGCGGATGATTTAGTTTCGAAACGAGATGCAAAAGCACCTGTTTGGAAATATTTTGGATTTTGAAAAGCCTGTTCACTTTTGCTGTTTATCTAAGGTGATTTTGGAAGTTTTTTTAAACATTCTTTCTTATTTAATTGGTTCCACATTGTTTGCTGATTTTTACTTTATTTAAACGTCGTGTCCAATGGCGGATGATTTAGTTTCGAAACGAGATGCAAAAGCACCTGTTTGGAAATATTTTGGATTTTGAAAAGCCTGTTCACGTTTGCTGTTTATCTAAGGTGATTTTGGAAGTTTTTTTAAACATTCTTTCTTATTTAATTGGTTCCACATTGTTTGCTGATTTTTACTTTATTTAAACTTCGTGTCATTTATTTTATTTGACATCAAGGTGTATGCCGTGCCTCCAAGCTTTTTTATTTGTTTTGCTAATAAACGTTCTACGTTTCTTATTTATTTGGTTATATATTATTCATGTTTACATTATGCATGTTTACCTATTTCCCGTTTTGTATACCTACTTAAAACTTTATGTAAGTTATTTGTTATTTTATATTAGGCATAGCCTGCCCTGTAGCATGGTGTATTTTTATTTGTTTTGTTAATAAAAGTTATATGTTTTATATATAGGCTAAAGGGAGTGACGTTGTATTTTGTTGTTGCATTCAAGCAATTAACGCCGAACTGCCGCTAATTCGAAAGTGAAAGTAAAATGCGCACAGTGCTTTTAAGCTATTTAAAAGTGAAGGAAAGCGAGGAAAAGAGGGAAAATTCAAACAAACTAAAAACGAGCAATTGCTTTACGTCGAATTGCCGCTATTTGAAAGTAAAATGCGCATGCTGCTTTTACAAGCTATTTAAAAGCACAGGAAAGCGAGGAAAAGAGGGAATGCCCCCGCCCCTGCAGTGATACCAATATTACCGGTGTTGTCACACGTCGATTAACAGATGGGAAAATTTTCTCACCGTCACAACCTTACTGTACACTAGTGTTGCTTTCGTCAACGAAAATTATGACTAAATATCATCGTCAACGAACCTTTATCACGTGACGAAAACGAGATGAGACACAACGTAAATGCTGGTCATGTGACGATGACTATAATTAAATGTATAATGCAATATTGTTGACGAATGTCAAATGAGACTAAATGTGGTTTACAAACTATGCTAAAATGTCTCTTCATTTTCGTTGACCAAAACGAGACGAAACGAAATGTTATAACATTATTTCGTCTCGTTTTAGTCGCGTTATTATTATTATTTTGCAGTATTTCTGTTTCCCGTGTCTCACTTCAGGGGCTGCATCAGGTCGCACTGCGCAGACGCAGGCGACGTCACTTCCTCAAGCCCCACTCGTGGCATTATTTAGAAGACGAAAACCAAACAAAGTTAAGTTATTTATGTTGTAAATTCAAATCAGAGCGTCTTCCGTTTCTGGAATGGATGTATTCTTGAGTCTATAAGGCAGTGGTTCTCAGCCCACAGCACGTCACGAATTCAAATGCAGCCCACCATGCTAAACACAATTAAAAAAAATTACTTTCAGTTTTACAATTCATTTTAGTTTTTACATTAATTAAAAAATGTACTAAATAAATATAAGCTATAGCCTAATGTTTTTATGTAAAATAATTTAGTTTTTCATATATTATTTTCAGACATGAGCAGTACTCACATAGCCTAATTAACATTACGCATTTAAAGTAACGACCAAGTGGCCAGCGGCAGACAGTGAGCACGTTTGATCAATTTAGCCTCTCAAATCATCACGACTTGACTAAAATAAAATCTATAGATATAAAACAGTTCAAGCATATAACAATTTTTAAACGTTAAACCTAGATAAATATGCGCTGTATCCAATAGTTTGTGCAGAGTGCAAGCTGAAGTTCGCTTTGCAGGACAGAGACGCCAGCGCCATCACTTGCATTTATTTTTAGTGGATACACCGTAATTTTTGCTCATAAAGGTAAGAGTAATACATCATTCGTAACTGTAAAGGGTCTACTTTTATTTGTGTGCACTCACAATATCAACAAAACCTTGTGCTTTTATAAAATAAAAAAATCAAACATGATGCGCTTTCTGCCGTCTCTTCTTCAACAGGAAGAAACTCAGCGAATACATGCCTCACAGACATGATAAATATACCTATAGAAAGCTTTAAATTACTACTTAACGAAATAAAACAAATCCAAAACAAAAACTCTTTCATTATGATCATAATCCGTAAAGACGCACTACTCTCTAAAGGCATGTCTAATGAGGAGATGGCGAGTCAGGATCGACAACTTCATCCTTGCTACACCGACTCAGAAAATACTAGTTTATTAGTAAATAATTCAAATATCTCCTTACTGTTCCCCCTGACGCATTTATGGTAATTACTTTTGCCGGTGCTTTGCAGCAAGCTTAAGCCTATTGCGTGCATTTGAACAGCTGCGCTGACGGCACGCACCATACATGCTGCTGCTGGACACTAAACACCGTCGAGCAGCTCTTGACAGTCACAGTAGCTCGGTCTCGTGTTGTTTCCACCAACGCGGCAATCTTTTTTCATCACTAATTGATGGATGTCTAAAATATAAAAATAAGGAGAAGCCTAAAACAGGCCCGAGGCCCTGCCCGTGTTTGAACTATGACGTGAAAATTGTGAAAGATAGTGGTCATCTGCGCAATTCAGAAAAAGAGGCGGCTTTTCTGCATTAGGTATGTTTATTTATTTATTTTTTACTCTTTGTACAGCAGTTATTGTTAATTCTAAATTAATTTTTTAATGTAGAATATGTGTTACATAAATACATGAAATGTAGAACATATAAAAAAGTGCTCATGGCTCGTCTGCCAGTGGGTGCCCCCCCACGCATAAAAGTGAAACTCCGCCTATGATTGTGCTGTTACTCCTTTCGAGCCGAATTTCACAAAATTGGGTGTTATTTATGGGGAGTAGAATTATTTATTTATTTCAATGAATGTAATCGATTAAATATCATAATATTTAGGCTATAATATTATAAATCAGGTTGGTTTGTATTGCTGACGTCATATGTAAATGATATACGTGCGGCCCGCGAGACTTACACTTGGACCATAGTACGGCCCGGTGAAAAAAACGGTTGAGAACCACTGCTATAAGGTAACAATAATATAATAAGATAACCTTGTTTGAAATGGGTTTAGCTAAAAATAAAATTTTGGTTTCGTCTATACTACTAACATCAGGTACTTATACTATATTGACTGGGTTAAATACAATTGCATTACTAAAAAGAGACTAAAATAAAATTTTCATTAACTAAAATAGACTAAATGTCATCAGTTTTCGTCGACTAAAACTAGACGAAAATAGTCATGGATAATTCTGACTAAAATAAGACTAAAATGCTCAGACTTTTAGTTGACTAAAACTTGACTAGACTAAAAAGAGTATGAACGTGACTAAAACTAATAAAAACTAAAATGACAGCTTCACAAAAAGACTAGACTAAAACTAAAATTAAAACAGGCTGCCAAAAACAACACTACTGTACACCCCCCTACACACTACATACAGGATTGTTCAGGTCCACTGGACCCGGAGATAATAAAAGAGTGGAAATTTTAGGTCCTGTGTACCTTCACTCTGTCCTCCTACTGTCTGGGACTGATATTAGTATGTGTATGTGTGTTTATGTGTGTGTGTGTGTGTGTGTGTGAGAAAGAGAGTCTGTAAGAGTGTGAGTATGTGTGAGTTTTGTGTTTCTGCCCCTGCCATTCCCGCACAAGGTTGTAGCACTTTCATTCATAAATGTGATCTAACAAAGATTAAGGGCAAATTTTGACCATATATGCCGTTTATATTGTTTGTAATTGGGATGAAGTAAGCATCTATTGAGCATTTTAACATATAATTTTTGATTGTGTTGAATTAAAAACCCAAAACTGCAGCAGGTCCACCAGACTAAACAAACAAGAATAAGAACACCATACAAGGGTTAAAGAAAACACAGAGTAGAGCAGAGTAGAGATCACATGAATTATCTGGGTCATTTTATGGCATGATGAGGGTCAAGAAAAAGTGTGTACACTGACCTCCACTCTTGCCACTTCCTCCAGACCCACTTGCTGCCTTGGTAACAGCATGCACCTGCTGTCCCGTGATGCCGCTTGAACTGCTGCCTCCTCCACTGACGATTGCTTTAGCGACACCCTGTGCTACCACTTGCTTTTGGCCCACCACCTTGGACACAGAGGGGCTGGACTTAGCGACCAAGATCTGCCCGCTGCTCATAGAGACCTGTTTGACAGCAGAGCCCAGTGGAATACCCAAAACCTACAAAAACACACACGCAGTTACTCTGCAACTGGAAATACTTGTAAATTGCACAATTGAGCTATCATAAATCAATAAATGTAATACTTTTGGTGTCCCTTTTTATATAAAATATTTACTCATCATTTTTCCTCTACTCATATTTTTTGTATAATCAAAACAGATGTGTACACTACTGTTTAAAAGTTTTGGGTTGGTGAGGTTTTTGCTCATCAAGGCTGTATTTATTTGATCAAAATACAGGAAGAGAGTAATATTCTGGAATATTATTAAAATAACTGTCTTCTATATTCAAATATTTTAAAATATAATGTATTCCTGTGATGAAAAGCTGAACGTTCAGCATCATTACTCCAGTTTTCAGTGTCACATGATCCTTCAGAAATCATTCTAATATGCTGATTTGCTGCTCAAGAAACATTTATTATTATTATTATCAATGTAAAAACAGTTGTGCTGCTTAATGTTTTGTGGAAACCCTGACACATGTTTTCAGGAATCTTTGATTATAGAAAGAACAACATTTATCTGAAATATAAATCTTTCATAACATTATAAATGTCTTTACTGTCACTTTTGATCAATTTAGTTCCTTGCGGAATAAAATCTTACAGACCCCAAACTTTTAAACAGTAGTATATGTTATCTATTAAGTCTTATTTCAATATGAGAAAGGCATTCACATCTCAACAGTAATGCTGCAGAAATGTTGATTAGTGGTTACACCTTAAGGATCTGAAAACCTTTGCGCCTGATCGAGAAACTTCATCGTTAAAAAAATGTCTAATGAATTTATAAAGATCCTAAAGAAAATGGCTTTACTTAAAACCAAGAGTTCTAAGGAGTAATATGAAAAATAAGTATGCTGAAGACTCTAATGTAGAGTTTGAAAGTTAAGACTTTTTATTGGACAGTCTCTAAACAGGATGTAAAAGTGACTTTGACTCTCAGGTGCTAAAAAAGGCTGCAGTAAAGAGACGAGTAGGAAGTCCACAGAGACACAATGACCTGAGATATGTTTAGACCGCATGACCACAGCGCACTCCAGTTTCAAAAACTCTCTCAGACAGGACAGCCTGCATTGAGGAATGAAACTATAGAAATACAGAACTGAAGTATGGAACTAGCTAGACATTATTTTTGGACATTATAGATGCATCTGAACAATCTTTGAGCTACGATGCCCAAATATTTAGGCAAGCAGCTCACTAGGTACTGAAACAGGCAAAGAATGGAACAATAGGAATTGGTTTAAAAACGGTCTAAGATAAAAGAGTCAACCAAATATGAAATATAAACAGTCAAATTGAACATTATCATAATGGTAAACACAAAACAAAACAAAAGAGTATTCATAAAAACCTTGCTGGGTGTGGCACCGCCAGTCCCTGCCCCACTCTGTTTTTGCGGTGACATGGCTATCATGTGACCTCCCTTCACTGTCACATACTGTTGTTGCTGCTGGGAAGCTGCTGTGGAAATGACCTGTTGCTGTGGTGATGGCTGGGTGGGCACCTCTCCTGGTTCTTGCTTGATTATAACCTTAAGACAGACAGACAGAGGGAGGAATTTTTATTACTCTGTGCTTGTCATATTAAAGCGAGATGTGCACTGAAACCCCATCAATTTGATTCACGGTTCAATTTCAACCAAGATATTTTGCAGAGATATTGGGTGTGTGATCCAATCCAAAGATAATTTAGTGAATCACACATTCCCTTGGGTAAGATAAACACATGCTTCTCTGAGTGAGAGGCTGAACATTGAGATGAACTCAGTGAACTTGAGTTGAGATTCACCTCTCCTGCCAGTAGCACACAGCAAAATGTAAACCAATGCAAACTCCATCATACAAAACACACATAATCTCAACATCACTGTCATATCTCTCATATAAACAAACAACAGTAAAAACACTCACACTCAAACGCTGTAACCCTGAATTTAAAATTAAATGTTGTTTCTTTAGAAACTACAGTGCAAAAAAAGCTTTGAAGTTTGACTCATTCTTTATTATTATTAACATTCTAGACTAAGTAATCGAACTATGAAATTAAACAAATGGGAATTATATAGTGCTCTAAAATAAAAATAAAACATTTATTTCTTATCTTATTTAAATCACTTTTTGAAGGTCTCCAGCCTCTGTCTTCGATAACAGCTACAGTGTTAATTTTTTTAACAACATTGTATTAAACATTTAAGCATTCAGACAAAAGTTTTTCAGATCATGTACAGTACCATCCAAAAAAGAAATTAATTTTCTTTTATTCAGCAAGAAAGCATTCAATTGAACCAAAGTGACAGTAAATACATTTATAAAGTTTTTCTATAGAAGATTTCTATTTTAAATTAATTATGTTTTTTTGACAATTCTATTCATCAAAGAATCCTGGGGAAAAAACAGTATCATGGTCTACAAAAAAAGCAAAAAATGTTCAACATTCATAATAATAAGGAATGTTTCTTGAGCTTCAAATTTAGATTTCTGAAAGGTTCATGTGACACTGAAGACTGGAGTAATGGCTGCTGAAAATTCAGTTTTGCCATCACAGGAATAAATTAAATTGTAATAATTTCACAATATCAATGTATTTTTGAGCAAATAAATGCAGGCTTGGAGAGCAAAAGAGACTTTTATCAAAAACATAAAAAAAATCTTACTGACCGACCCCAAACACAAGCTCAAATTATTTTGACTATTCTGAAGAAACTATCTGTGAACCATTCCCACTGCATGTCCACGTATGAGAGTGTGTGTGTGTGTGTGTGTATGTGTGTGTGCGCTCGCGCTCTGGGAATACTTCAGTCCTCTGCACAGCTTGCGCAAAAGCAGCAGCATCACGCCACAGATAGATGTCCCATTTTAAACCTTCACACACACACACACACACACAGCTGCTGCAGACCTCTTACTGCACTGCCTGGTAGTAACTATTAATAACTACCAGTGTTAATTTAGCCCGCAGTGTCCAGAAAACATTGAAACACCCTCAGAGAATAACCCAGATAGAGAGAGAGAGAGAGAGACAGAGAGAGATCATCACCTAATTTGAGTCAGTTTTTCTTCAGTTCAACAGAGGGACAGACAACCTTATTACTGCTTTGGTTGGTATGAATGATTATTACAAACATTATCTTTTCACTTTGTAAATAAATGTAAAGAACAGCAGAACCCATATTAACAGCTCTATAGAACAATGACAGAGAAATTAATCCCTATTTTGGGGTGCCTTCCTCTTACAAGCTCCATTACAGCTCTCTCCTAACACAAAGGTACTGATTCGTCGTGCTAATCTGCCTGAAGAGGAATTGATTGTGCCACATTGTTTTCAACAGCCTACATCTGTATTTTTCAATTACAGGTGATTTCACTCAAAATACCAACATAATTTCTACTGATTTTGTATTCTCATCCACTGCACAAGTCCTGAACACATAGCTGGACTAGAGCACCAAGACCCCAAACTGCAATCAAATGTGAGTTGCACTGAATAAATCCATTCACCGAGAGAGTCAATCTCACCTTGACCCCAGAGGACAGGAAGCTGCTGGTGTGAACTTTAGGAGCAGGTGATCGAGCACCATGGGCTGTGCTGCTCTGCTTGGCCGTCGGACTACCTGAGATAAACACATGAAAACAGCAGATATAACAAATAAGTATGACACTTCAAAAGCTTAAAGGTGCAGTAGGAGATCTTGGAAAATGCAAACTTTAGCCTGATAGCACTGAAAGCGAACGTCCCACCCTCCCTACAACCGCCGTCCAAAGCCAAGCCCCCTGAACGCATATACGCTCACAGACCAGAATACCAGAGACAACATTACTACAAGGCTACATCAGCAGTTCCCAATTCCACCCTATGTTCCAAAGTGAAGTAAACTTCAACGGATTTCCCCTGCTCAGGGAGTAGGGAGCAATGAACACTGTGCAGGGATCCTATCGATCGGAACACAGTTCATGCACGTAGCTCACTTCTAATGAGCTTGTTATCTGAATCGGGTGTGTTAACTAAGCGAGACATGCAAAATATGCAGGTGGGCGCGAGGACTGGAATTGGGAACCGCCGGGCTACATCATGTGTCATTCACTGGGGGAAAAACTTTAAAAGTACTACAATACGATCGGGTTGTTGATGTTTGTCTGTCATTCTCGCTCTGTCTGCACAGCGTGCGTGAACACGCTGATGACGTATCCTGTCTGCGCGAACCGGGTGCACAGAGGTATGCTAATACATAAGTTGACAGGCAGGAAGGAACGCCAATTAAAATGCTCGGACCGAGCATTTTGATTGGACGAACATTTCTTGGTCCTAATTTTTTTGTCATTAAAAATTACAAGGTGTTAAGAAAAAAAATAAGCAAATAAATAAAAATGAAGCATTCATGTATGAATCATTCACAATAAGATCAATAAAATGCATTTAGAAAATAGGGGAATTTCCTTTTAATTTCAAGGTCTATTCAAACTATTTTTTAGTGTGACAAGATCAGTCAAAACAAAAGAAAAATGCATTTTATGAACCCCTTTCACAAGCATTATGAAAATAGTGCTTTCTTTTACATTTACTTCATGTGTTTTTGTGTGTCAATATATCATGCCATTATTACAGTGCTTTTTGCTCTTGCTCAGGTTTAAGACCTTCTCAGAGGTCTATAAAAATATGGAGCTGAATTTCTGCAAATATTTGCATCGTTTTGGCACAAAGAGGTTTCTGTCTGCATCTTTGTGCACAATGGAATAGTGAGTTACTCTACAACTCATTGTTTAACTTAAATGTGTCAAGACTGCAGCTCTGCTCTTCTGTGCTCAATTTCTCCAGTATTGAGACACTGAACAAAATTATAAACGTAACACTTTTGTTTTTGCCCCCATTTTTCATGAGCTGAACTCAAAGATCTAAGACCTTTTCTATGTACACAAAAGGCCTATTTCTCTCAAATATTGTTCACAAATCTGTCTAAATCTGTGTTAGTGAGCACTTCTCCTTTGCCGAGATAATCCATCCACCTCACAGGTGTGAACTGACAAAACAAAGGAGTTTATTTACTCCAAATCTCATAATGCACCATCCCCCAGGATGGTTGGCATGCAACTTCTTCTCCAGATTCACAGCCTGATTTTCACAAGCTCTGTTCTCCAATAACACAAAAGACAGAGATCTTACAGCTGAAGGCATGCATACAGTGATTGTCTGAAGCTGCTCTGACACTCAGAGACTTTTAAATTCCATTTAAATAGGAAAATGAATTAAAATGACTAAAGTTGTCATAACATAACTGTTATTTCAAAGAAATGTTAATCAAATATCCACTCAAATGTTTAAAATCTTTGAATCATGTCTCCTACTCTACCTAGATAGCATTTAGGGCATCACTGGCTTGTTTTCATTTTGAGCATTCAACCTAAAAAGTTTCAGAAGGTACATTTAAGTCTTGGTTTAGACCTTATTTTGATCTATTTCACAGGAAACAAGTATCTTATGTCATTTTACTTAAGTGTATTGTGATTTCAAGAATCTTTAGACATTTGCATTGATAAACAAGATACAAGTACGGAGGAAGAACATTGCAGTGTGATCAGAAGGTACAGTAATATTCCAGTGGTTGGGAGCAGATGTATTTTCTTTAAAGTGAGTTTATAATTAAACCAAGAACAAATATCTGCCAGTGAGCTAAAAAAAAAAAAATCAACATTTTCATACCTCACTGACAGATATTTGTTCTTGTATTAAGCAAACTCAAATCACTTTGTTCAGTTTTTGTAAATCTTCATTTAAGGATGTTTAGATATTTGTACTGGAAAACAAGTGTCTTGTCAGCATTTTTAGCCATAACAGAAGTGTTGGAATGCTCATCTTCAGCGTCCTACCTACATGTCAAGCATTATACATTTGACTCAAATGTTCTCATGATGCCCCACAATGCTGTCTAGATAGACAGCCATTAGGTTTTGAAAACCAGCAATTTTCTAAAGCCCAAGAAAAATGACAACTATGATTCTGATCATGGCAGGGAAAATACACAGCATAGAGTTTTGAGAAGCATCTGTACATTTGTTCCGGTTACGTCCATCTCTAATGGTCACTATGTTGCTTTAGCCCCACAGCACAGGGCTCTGACCACACACACTCCTCTTCCCTGAGAGCATGTAGGCATGTTTTGTGGAGGCCTGTGCGTGTGTTGTAAAGATGTTAACTGGGGTGCCAGGATGCAGTTATAGGTGATACAGCATTTGCGAGAAGCACATCAGGTTGTGCAGCCATGGAGGTGGAATTTGTTCTTACACACACACACAGTAATGTTACATCAACTGCACACTCCACACACTACTAAACTCTCAGTGATGTGGTCGCTATGGCAACCTGGTCTTATGATGGCCTGTAAACCCACAGCATGAGTCATGGGAAAGAGTGTAGCAAAGAGAGTGTGTGTGTGTGTGTGTGTGTGTGTGTGAGAGAGAGCACAAGAAGGGAAAAAGAACTAAAGGGGAACCTTGTACTTTGTGATTTGGCTTCATCATTCACTCCTGACACTTTCTCACTGTGTCCTCCCCATGCTCGATGCAACAAATTTCTAGAAAAAGTAATTTCTCTGTCCTCTCTAAAACTAGAATGTTACCGCAAAGCAACAATAATAGTAGCCAATCAAAACTTGTTCGATGTTGAATATAAAGGAAAAAGAAACCTAGAGGCCAGTATCTGACAATATCATGAGGTAAAAGCGACACATTGTTACTCTGAGAGGGAGAGTATGTACCTGTAGCTGCAGATGTCGATGCAGCCATATTAATGACTTGGCCTGGTTTGTCCACGATAATGTAGGGGTTATTTATTACTGAGGGGCTGGACTTCATGTGCACTGGCGTAGATGATGATGTCCGGGGGAGAGGAGAGTGACTAGGGGTGGAGATAGGAGAACCTGGAACACAAAAATTGTATTTCTATGATTAGATTTATAGTGTGATCCTCATAAATTTCTCATCATGTTTAAGAGCCACACAGACTGCAAATCCATAATGCTTAAAGCAGTTTCACATCTTTACTATGGTCTGCTTTTCTTGTCTTATCTTTATACAACAAGCACACTGAGTTTGATGTTTGTATTTCCCTCAAAATGGCAAACTCGAGACTGACTGGCTGACTTTAAACTATTTTTGAGTGTCAGAGAATACAGCGTTTTAAAAAGTCAATGGTAAACAGTGTCATGTTAATGCAAGTTCATACCAGACTGCTACAAGTCAAGTATTTTCCTAGATATGTCGAAGTTTACGAGTCTCACAGCATCAAATCTTTGAAAGTTATGCACTAGTAAGTAAACAAGATAGAACTGGTAGTTTGGTAATTTTGCATGTCAATCAGATGGCCTGTGATTATCCCTAAAACCTACTGTTTTTCTTTCAGATGTTTTGGCAGATGTTTTTTGTGGATATAATCATACATTCAATATTAATTAATTTTACCATAGTGAATTAGTGAAGGAACAGCTGCTTCCCTATCAGTGTGAAAGTTAAGTTTGGCTGCCACTAGGGGGCAAAACACAGCAATCGAACACAAATGTTAGAGATATAGTGGCAAAAGTGGGTGGTTCTTGGTCAGAATAAGATCAAATGTGGACCAGACTTTATAAAGAGTAGGTCTGGCAAAGAAAGACTAGGACATATCAGACTGAGCTCCTCTTAGATCTGCTGTCACACACTGACAAGCAAACCTATAATGCATTACACAGGAGTTTCACAACTTTCTGACAGTCTCCTTTTCTCTAGAAAATCAAACCTACAGCAGAAAAAAGCCAGAGCGACATGAAAGAGACTGTATATAGAGGATTTTACTGCTTGCATTTAAACTCAGCTCTTCTCCACCTTCCTTGTACACCTGTGAGACTCACCAGACACAATCTTGCAGCTCATCGTAATTGGCTGAAATGATTTCCCAGGTGATTCAGCGGGACTGGGCACTTGCCCTTGTGGAATTATCTTACAGCTGGCTATGATTGGCTGAAAGGCTGAGTTTCCGTGGGAACCGAGGGTGATTTTCTCAGACCTATTTGACTGCGAAGTTCGTTCAGAACATGAAGAACGGACCGACTCACTCTTGAAAGTCACACCTGGAACTAAAATAAAAGGGACAACAATCAATTTCGTAATCAATAGATCTAATCAATAATTAGTTTACACACATTTAAGTACTAGAAGTATCTTTAGGAAGCAGCTTAAGTTGTCGTCCGAAACACAAAATGCATTTTCATACAAGTGACTTAGGCATGGAATGTAAAATGAAGGTCTAGTCTTGGACTAATACAGACTTTCAAAACAGCTTCCAATGCTTATGCAATAAAGTGCAAACATCCTACTAATCCTCTTAATCAAAATAATCCCATTTTAAAGACACAGTGGGATACTGCATAATTATTTTGTGTTACTATGTGGCATCCTGTGAAATGGACAAGCATTTGTGTGTTTTGTCTACCTCTATCTGAGCTGGGCTGATCATCATGAGCGTGCAGAGAGTGAGAGGAGGGCCGCCGAGAGCCTTGGGCAGCTGTGCAGGAGGAACCAGACCCGCCCACAAACGGCAGATGAGAGGATGATGATGATGATGATGGTGATGAAGATGAGGGAGCAGAGGGGATGAAGTCATCACCTAGTGAGTTTCTGTGGAGCTCAACATCCACCACCTTTAGAAAATAAGAAACAGAAAGAAGAAATGGCATTTTAAAGATTAATCAAGATATATTTGACACTTGTAATAAACCTTGTCATCACAAAATCATTTTAGAAATATAAAACCCTGCACTTTCACTGTGTCCTGGATGAAAAGCAATTTTCTGCTCCCTGAGTTCTGCAGCTTAAAAGAAACCTTCATCATTCTCAGCATTTAATTTTTTCCTTAGAATAAAAAAAATGTAACTTTCTACATACCTTGTTGTACACATTCTGGAAAATCAGTTGCAATCAGTTTAAAGGGTTAGTTCACCCAAAAATGAAAAATTAGGCTGCGTTTTACTCACCCCCGAGGCATCCTAGGTGTTTATGACTTTCTTCTTTCAGACGAATCCAGTCGGAGTTATATTAAAAATTGTCTTTGATCTTTCAAGCTCTATCATTGCAGTCAGCGGGTGTTGCATTGCTTCAGTCCAAAAGAAGTTAAATAAAAAGCACCCATGCATAAAAAAGTGTGTAGCGTGTGGCCTCCTGTAGCGAATCAATGCGTTTTTGTAAGAAAAATATCCATATTCAAAACGTAATAATCACTTTAATCTAGTTTGCGCCAGCAGTTGTACACAGAAGCAGTTCCGGGAGCATGACGTATGAGGTCAGCATTGCGCATGCGCTGGTGAGTCTCGTGAAAACCAACGTCTCCTCTTGGCTTATATTGAAATCCTCTGACATTCTTCTTTACAAATCCTCGTTTTGTACTTCTAATTCTTGACCGTTGTTTTGCTTTGATCTCTCCGCTGCGTTTCCGCGTGCGTCACTTCTGAGCGGCGCTTGCACAAAGCTGACCTCATACGTAATCCGCCCGGAACCGCTTCTGTTTACAACAGTGAGTGCAAGCTAGATTCAAGTGATTATTACGTTTTGAATATGGATATTTTTCTTACAAAAACGCATTGATTCGCTTCAGGAGGCCACACGCTACACACTTTTTTATGCATGGGGGCTTTTTATTTAACTTCTTTTGGACTGAAGCAATGCAACACCCGCTGACTGCAATGATAGAGCTTGAAAGATCAAAGACAATTTTTAATATAACTACGACTGGATTCGTCTGAAAGAAGAAAGTCATATACACCTAGGATGCCTTGGGGGTGAGTAAAACGCAGCCTAACTTTCATTTTTGGGTGAACTAACCCTTTAACTATGCTATGGCATCATGGTCAGAAACCAGATTTATTCCCTTTTTTACTTTGCTGAACACAAACAACAATACATCTTCTTTTGACACTTTCACTCATAACTCCAGTTTTGTGCTTACCTTCACCTTGAAGACTATGACATTTTCATCACAAATTATCCTGTTAAAAAGCTTACAGGTTGGTTCTTAATATTGTGCTTTGCCTCCTCGAGCAGCAATGTCTGTTCACAGCCTTTTTTGATAGCTGTGCTTTTGCAGAGTAGTACGCAATAAAAAGAAAACTGAATTTTTAGGATCTCTCAACTTAAAATAAAAAACCTAATTATGTAAACTTATAAAAAGGCTGCAGTTGCATGTAAAGATACAACTACAGCTGCAGTTTCATGTAAAGATTAAGATAGTGTGTCTTACCGTTTCAGCTCCCAAAGTCTGTAAACCTGTGTATGTTCTGTCAAGCTGAGGGAGAACAAATAAAAGATAAATAACAGAAACATTAAAGAGCAGTCTTTGCTGCAGAGTATCCAAGAGGTTGATGGGTGGACAAAAGTACTTTAATCTGCAAACTAGCCTATTCTTTTTATCTCGATTCATCTCCCTTTATTTTATCTTTGTTATTTTAACCTATAACAAAAGGGATTGCTGTGACAACAAATAAAGAAGAAAGGAAATATCAACAGACAGGATGCTTTATAAAATCGACCATTTCACCTTTAGACTCAGAGAACCCCACATAAAACGATAGATTTGTGTAAACATATTCTATTATGCACAATCTGCACACACAAAAAATAAATCGAATCCTCTAAGTAAATTTTAAATAAACAGAAGGGGATGTCATCTAATGTCTGAATTTTTCACAAAAAAAGTACAAAGAAAGATAAAGGGGGAGAAAAGGAAAGATGAAAAGGGCAACAAAAGGGTTCAAAGAGAGCATGTACGCAAGCGGTCAGTAAGTGTCTGACCTTTAAGTGGTGGATGATGTCGATACGTTTGTTCCGTTGGTCTTTAAAGTGAATCTGCACACGGACAGGAAACTCTCCCCACCCTCGACGAGTCAGGTGGAACGGTGGCTCACTAAACACACACACACAAACAAACAGAGTTTAAAGGGGTCATATGATGCGATTTCAATTTTTCCTTTCTCTTTGGAGTGTTACAAGCTCTGCTCCCACCACACGAAAGACGAGCAAGGTGTGGGATTATTTTGAAATAGAAGGAAACGGAAGAGTTGTGTGTAAACTGTGTAATGTCAAATTGGCTTAAAATAACTCTACTGGAGCGATGCATAATCATATTCAATACAGGCACGTAGGCGTTAGCTTAGAGACTAGCCAAAGCCAGCTAATTTCAATCACATCATTCACTACAGCCCGCCACCGCTGCGATCCCGTCCGTGCCATCTATTCCTCTAACGAAGACCCACTTCAGTGGTGGTGCGGGATGTCCAGGCGCGTTCCGAAATTCTGTTGGCTTGCTTTTCATTATCTCTGCGTGCCTGCGACTTCAGTTCCTGCAGAGTGCGGTTTTTTCAAGTGCAGGAATTGTTAATCGCCTCAGGTCCTGTCTTTCTTTTTGTTTGTTTTGTTTTTAGATGATATAGCCTACATGATGAAGTATGTTTTTAAAAGCCATTTTAATGCTATTCCTTGATAAAATTTGTCTATTGTTTTTGACTTGTGTTTTAATATGTTGGCTAATGTTATATGAAGATGAAGAATTCTGTCAGGCTATTGATTGATTTTCCATTGTTCTGCATTTCCCCAGCTGATTTGAATAAATAAGTATTGGTTGACGTCGAGTGTGTGCGCTTACTTTTTTTTTCTTTTAAACAACCGCCTAAAATTAAATGATGATAACGGGAGGCAAGCGTAGGCTACGGCATGAATTTGGGTGAACTAACCCTTTAAGTTTATCAAGAGTTAATGTAAGAGTTAAAACATATAATGTTACAAAAAAAGTATTTAAAAAAAAATGCTGTTTTTTTTAACATTCTATTCATCAAAGAATCCTGTAAAAAAAATAAAAAATAAAAAAATAATCTCCTGAAAAATCAGCTCTGTGATCACAGGTATCAATTATATTTTATTCTAACATAAGTGACTTCTTTCAAAATTATTTTAAAAAATCTTACCAACCCCAAAGTTTAGAAAGATAGTGTACATTATCACTCTCTCGGTTTTACATGCAATTTACATTAATAAAGATACTCAATAATTTAAAATATAACTACTGTATACCCAAAGACAGTTATGCTCAAAAAAAGCTAAACAGTTTGATGTAATTAAAACAATCAATAAGAAAGGCAAGTAAACACGCACCTGACTTCCACAAGGTCATTGGGCTTGTAGCTGGGGTGCAGGAAGAACCAGACTTTCTTCACAAAATGATCAATACTGGGCTCTTTGCGAGAACCTCGAACATACACCATCCATTTATGAGTGGACTGGTCGTTCTCCTCACGTTTATCAGGGGCAATATACCTGAAAGAGAGAGAAAAAAAACAGTCTAAAAATCAAACTCAAATAAATTTATAGTTGCATGCATACATTTACTCATTGGTTGGGGAAGATATGTCTTTGCCAACGTAAACCTCCCAGTAACCCTCAGAACAGCTAACTATATGGTTATATTTAAACATTAAACTCTAAATGTCACTCTTCAAGATTCAGTTTGTAATAGCACAGCAGCAGTTTTGCTAGGTATCCACTCAGTAGCAGCAAGGATAAGTTCAGTTTATTTGCACATGTTGTGAGTTTCTTTTCAGCTCAGCATGGATAGCGCATTTTCAGCTACCTGCCTCAGTAACGTGATTTGTGCACTTCATTTTGAGTTTCTTGGGAAACAAGCATCTGCTACAAACATAAACGTAGAATGCAGAGCCATTCAGAGACCCTTTATTCAGATAAACAGCTTAAGACGGTGAGTATTTTCAGCACACCGGCCCTGGAGTAAACAGTCTCATTAAGATCTTTAGTAGCTCTGCAGGCAAAAAAAAAAAAAAGAGCTTACATCATTGTTCATATGCAGACACACACACTGGTGTCACTCTCACATGCTCTGAGTGCATTTTACGAGGTAAAGTAGATGAGGACTGTGTGATAATGAGGTTAGATCGCTGCCTAGAGAAAACTAAAGCTTTGCGCCATGTGAAAGTTTATTGGGTTTCGGAGAAATAATACTGAGATTTTCAGGAGAAAGTGATGCATTTAAAAATTAATACAAGCTCAGAGAAATAAATACGGTTTCTCATAAAACCATCTGTCCAAATTACAAACTGCTACCATTCATTCAGCAGCTGTTTTTTTTGTTTGTTTTGACAGAAGAGCAAAATACATTTATTCAATCAAAATTGAAACCTGTCATCATTTACTCACCCCAAGCCATTCTTCCTAATAATGTATCAAACATACTTTTCCAATTTTACGTAGCTCCTTACTACAGCTGTGCAATACTCAAAGTCTTCTGAAGTCGTACAATCGTTTTTTAAAAAGAACAAACCAGAATTTAAGTCTTCATTCACTGAAACCTCTGAAATTGTATTGCACCTTGGTATGTTCACAACAGATATTTGCTTGTGTTCCACAGAAGAAAGTCATTCATAGAGGTTTAAAATGATATTAGGAGGACATAAAAATAACAGAATGATGATGGACTATACATTTTTTGGTGAACTATTCCTTTAAGGTTGCAGAGTCGAGAATAAGGCGTCCTACTCAAGGGCACACCAGCATTGTTCAGAGAAAGAGCACAAACATCAGTCAGGATCCCAGAGGTGCTAAATCAAAACTCTCCAGTGCAATAACAAAGATTTAGGCCAGAATGACTCTGGATATTGAAATAAAGCTGATCTACACTACAAACTAATTATAAAATATTCTTCAAATCACACAGGTTTCATGCTATGCGTGCAACAGCAATTATGCTAATATAGTCAAATTAAAATGAGTAATATCTGATCTGTAAAATAAGGGCAAAGAGACAACCGTAATGCTTCATACTTAGACACGTTGCCCATAACAATAGTTTTCTTCATGTAGAGCCGAGAAGCCTCATCTCCTGTAGTGTGGTAAGTCACATGCTGCTCTAAGGATGATGTCACACCAAATGTGTCCTACACATGGGCATGTAATAAAACGTTTTTTAATGTCAGGTACTGTAGGCATAGAGTAACAGTGTTGTAGCATTTTCAAGCCATGCAAACCCTCAGACTTATGTTCTGATAGTGTGTGGGCTACTAACTTTTCCTGTGTTCCTGCCAGGTCGGCGTTCACGTGGAGCGCCGTCCTCTCTCCCACTGTCCATCTCCCTCTCCCCAGCCTCCCCATGTTGGCTGAAGGACTCGGTCTCAGACTGGACCTGTGATGGGGTCTCTGAATTCTGGTTCAGTGGAGACGAGGAGCGGGAGGGGGAATCCAAGAAGCGTTTTATGGCAGGGTGGTTCAGCACAGATGGGAACATCGGTAAAATAATCCATATGACATCAGGGGTTCTGGGTATGATGCAGCTGACACAGAATAGCATACGCCGTTTACGTTCAGTGGATATTCTCCAAAATGGCACTAGGGTGATGAGGAGGAGACGAATTGTTGAATAAACAATTGTATATTGTTTTGCCATGATTTTATTTTTTAGAAATCGAAGAATCGCGATTTTGAATAGAAATATTACCAAATGTTAGAATTAGACACTTTGACAATATGCCGGTGATAACATTTTAGAATGGCGTTTCATGCATGAGACACTGCAAGAGACGCGAGCAACAGTCAAACACATCCATGTTTACACAGAAAAATCTCTGGAAAAGCAGCGCAATGGAATAAAAAACCTGTAAAGAACTACTACTGTATGTCTGATATTTCATGTTTACATCAAGGTGACAGGCTGAAAGCTGCTGTTGTTTTTACAGAACATTTATAGTTAATGATAGTCTACTGGTGTTATACCTTCAGTCATTTTGAATTTGAATTACTGTGACTTTTGAAATTTTTTTAAAAGCATTTTCCTCATATTATTTCTGAACACATGATATGTATAAGACAAGTTTGTACAATATGTACTTGTAGTTTATGCATCTTTTCTGCAAAGATATTTAACAAGTGATTTGGTTAACATTTACATCATGTTGAGAACTTCATGTGTGCTGCACTTAGAATAGAATTTTCTTTAACTAGAGGGTTAATAAAGAAAAAGTAACTTGAATCATGTTGTAGTTACATTTACAAGTTGACTAGTTCAAAATCGTAAAAAAAAAATCGAGAATCGGTCAAACGTTCTAGAAAAATCTATATTTAAATTTTTTGCGTCTTTCAGACGAATCCAGTCAGAGTTATATCAAAAAGTGTCTTTCATCTTCCAAGCTGTTTAATGGCAGTCAGCGGGTGTTGCAGTTCATCAGTCCAAAAGAAGTGAAATAAAGCACATGCATCCATAATAAAAAGTGCCTCACACGACTTTTCGATTCGCTACAGGATGCCTTTGTTCACCCCCTGGAGCCGTGTAAGGATGTAATGGATGGATGCGCTTTATTTCACTTATTTAGACTGATGAACTGCAACACCCACTGACTGCCATTAAACAGCTTGGAAGATCAAAGATGATTTTTAATATAACTCCGATTGGATTCATCTGAAAGAAGGAAGTCATATACACCTAGGATGGCTTGAGGCTGAGTAAATAATGGGTTTATTTTCATTTTTTGGTGAACTATCCCTTTAATGACAGAATTTTCATTTTTGGGTGAACTATCCCGATATTTTTTTACAAAAATGCATCGATTCGCTACAGGAGGCCACATTTATTTAGACTGATGAACTGCAACACCCACTGACTGCCATTAAACAGCTTGGAAGATCAAAGATGATTTTTAATATAACTCCGATTGGATTCATCTGAAAGAAGGAAGTCATATACACCTAGGATGGCTTGAGGCTGAGTAAATAATGGGTTTATTTTCATTTTTTGGTGAACTATCCCTTTAATGACAGAATTTTCATTTTTGGGTGAACTATCCCTTTAAAATCAACTGCCTTATGGAGAAAATGAATAGTATTTTTACTTCTCGAACTCGACTGTTTTACTCTATTGACAAAATGTATCAGTGCATCTAATCTCTACAGATTACCTCGGGGACTTTAGGCTGGCCAGCATTGGCATAGTAGTTTGCGACAATGCACGCTCTGAGCTTGTCCATCATTCTCCTGGCCTCATTCAACCTCTGAGGGGGCAAAAAAAACAGATAATAGTTCAGCTTTTAAAAGTCATGTAGTGTACTACAGGTTTAGGTGTTTACTTTGTCTCAAGAACTTTGATTTTTTTAATTAAGTGTTGACGTACAGTTTCTTAGTACGTGTTGCACTGCTGATTAAAGTACTTCTGGACTAACAAAGCACTGCTAGTCCTAAAATAAAGTGAGTATTGGACAATTACCTGCCCGATAACCTCGATCTCATGCTCTTTATTCTTCATCTCAAGAGAAAACTGATCCTTGATGATCACTTCAATCTTCTGCACTGCAGCTTCACAGGCTGGTAAAAATCAAACAAGCAGATTAAAAAACGACTTGTGTGATGCTCTACATCACTGTTAGGAACCTAGTCTTACCATTCTGCTCCACCACTTTACTCCTCTTGTTCTCCTGAACTTGAGTGATGTCCTCATAGTCAGGATCTTTGTCCTCTATTTTCCTTTTCACCCCAGACATGATCACTCATTGGCTGGACTGCAGACAGTGCACAACATGTCACATAAACAACAACAAACTTGTACAGGCACACAGAGGCTGAGTCTCAAAATGTAGCTGCTTACCTGCTTGCGTGTAATGTCTAACAATGCGTCCTAGGTAGGCAGCTTGTTAGATTTTGAGACACAGCCCTAGTATATGAGCATACAAGTGTCATTATATTTCCTTGACAGACTGATATTAGTTGTTGCAGAGGTTTAAAAACAACTAACATGAATATGTCGCTGCTAATCTGACACACACATTAAGCTAAATAACTAAAAAGTTATTGCACAACTCACACCACTAACGTTTTTCTAAATTGCGCAAAACGTGATGTAAACACGCACAAGAGTGGTCAGTGTGTTTATGTACACGGTAAACCTACGCTGAATTGGCTGGTGAGGTGTTTAACGGTGAGGCGTTAGCCGTTAGCTTCGGTTGGTCTCGCGCACACGAAAGTCTCGCGCGGACACACGAACTCGTGCAGCGAGCGCGTTTATCTACATTATCTTTAACATTTTAAATTAAAACATCGAAAAAATTGAAAACCCCTGAGCTAGGAGAACATTATTTGGCCTGTACCTGAGCAGAGAACTAAAATATTATATTAAAATATTATATATTAGTTATTTTATTTTTTGCAAATATCTGCTTCAGATTTCAGTTCAATGCACACACTGCCTACCTGCATCTTAACATCGCACATTTAGGTTTTCAGTTAATCTCACGGATCTGCCAGGAGCAAAAAACAAAAAATTTAAATCTATGTTTTGTTTACATGTAGTCCCTATATTGTATTTCTGAAAAATACAATCCGCCAGGAGACAGTATATGCTAGAAAATGGATGGAAATGTTGAACCTTCACCGAGTTAGGCCATGCTATACCCGAGTCTGACCAAAGGGTGGCGCTGAAAACCACATTTACAGCAACATCTCACCATGAAGTCAATAGTGTAATTCTGCTCATGCGTGGTTAAAAAGGAAAAGGCACACATCTTCTACTCTGGCATTATACACATTTTAATTTTTTGGCAACTACTTATAAAAACTGAAATGAAAATTAATAAAACTATATAGTCATATATAAAAAATAAAAAAATTAAAATAGTAAAAATTAAAAAACTAAAATTAAAATAAAAACGGAAAATGTAAATATGAAAACTGATTCAAAATATGAATAACATTTGAATCAGGGTATCTTCCGTCCAATCAATTTTTGTTTTAATATTGAAATCTGAAAAATGAAAAACGGGCACATATTTCGTTTTTCAATTATTCAAACAAAAGTAATAGTATCTCAATGTTATTAAAAAGAACACTGTTGTGTAAAAAATGTTAAGAAACATAACATTTTCGTATTTTTCATATCATTTCCACTTAGGTATTTGCAGCTTCACATTCAACCTGTACCCTTTCCTTGTCTCTTAAAATAGCACTTAAGTCATCAGTTCCAAGCAGCTCTTTACATATCAACACGTCAACACTTCAGCCTTCATCGCCTGAGGGGCTCTGCTTTAACTAATAATGAACATTAGAAGAAAATGCCAGCATTATAAGAATTCGCATTGTCATCATGCTTGTTGCTTACTATCCCATATTTCCATTCATAAAGGAAACTTGTCAGTAAGTTTCATTTGTCACACCAGAGCAAACTATTTCATTTAGATTTTACAAAGGTAATGGCACTTTTAACAATTGCAATTGTCATGAAACATTGTCTCAGGTATAAAACTATTACAGTCACAAAGCAACAGTGGCACGAAACCTTGAGAGGAATCAGCGCTCAAGGTCATTCTTTTCTCTTCTGCCTTTCGCTGATGCTTGAAGAAAATAATATGGTTTTAGAGGTCAGTCAACAGAATGTTGCTTTTTAAAATATAATATTTTGGTTAATTTGAAAATGCCTTCAGCTACCAAGAACACTACTCTCCGCTCTGGTGAAAGATTTTCACAATAAATACATTCTGCAGATTTCCCCTCAAAATTAGCACAGAAAATGCATAAAGTCTGGGCCTAGGCGTGAGCTGAGACATGTACATGTATGGGGCAAACTGTTTGAGCTAAACTTAAAAGCCTTGACCAGTTGTAAAGATGGTTATGGCTCCATAACCATCTGAATTTAACAATTGCCAGGTGTTATGCGGTTAAGACAAAATGGGTTAACAAATGCTTATAACTTGAATATAAAAAATAAAAACAAATCTGAACCTCAGGCAAGAAAAAAAATCAAATAAACAAACAAATAAAACAACATACACTATATTTAGTTTTTGAATATGAAAGTTCACTAAATTCTAAATGCCTAATTCAACTAATAGATTCATAAGGCAAATGCATATTTTGTTCAGCAAACTTTCATTTTTCTTAGCTGTATTTGTTTTATAATATATGCCATCTTTGTTTCTGCTGTATATAAATCATCTGTCAGCTAAGATATAGTTTTATATCCTACACACAACAACAAAAGTGTAAAGTCAGACAGCTAAACAATAATCCTTATTGTAATCACATAATTCACATTTCAATCCATGCTATAGGACAACTCACAAATGTCCAGTAAACTGTAAAATATAGTAGCGTTTGCTTTTTGTGTGTGTGTGTGTGTGTGAGAAGAGCTTGGGTAATCGTTCAGAATGGGGATTTTTTTTTAAAATTATGAGTGGGATTATGTTTTGTGTCAAACTGACATATCTCCTCCAGAGTATGAGGAATATAGCTTAGGTTTCCTTTTGAGGAATTTCCATAGAATCTTGAATAATGCACAAGTACTCCAAGGAATGCCCGTTTCCATAACCACAAGTATGAAGAGGGCTGTACAAACACATACTTCATGCTTCAAGATATTCTGATGAACAGTTACATGAAATGACAACACAAATCATTGCAAATGAACTTTTTTATTGAGGCACTTTTGCAGTTTTACAAAGTATGGTTTATTATTATTTATATTTGAAACATGTCCAATATTTCTTATGCTTTGGACTCGATTACAGCTACAGTTTCATTCCACTGAAATGAAATGGTTCGAAACTGCATTTTTAGGATTTTCTACTGCAACAAAAATACCAGGTTATACTTATGAATGAGCTGAAAACCAACCCAGAGCTTGGACCAATTGTGTCCATACAATCCTACAAAACACCACATCTATCCCAGACAAACAATATAAAGCTGGGTTTGAAAAACTGTCAGATATTATTTAAAAAATAGCATAATGGGCCATACGAATGTTGGCAAAATAACATTTACAAAAATTTAGACCAGTACAGCTGGTAATAATCAAAATGATCGAAGGACAAATCAACATTATGTATATGAAAACATATAAATAAGTATATACAGACACACTTATATTTTTGTCATTGCAGGCAGAAATGCAGGAGACGCAGTGCTTTGGGTAAACTAGCTGCCAGCATCCTGCCTGACACATTCAGATGAATTACACAAAATTATTCTGACAGGTAAATGTCTGCTTCCAGTACTAGAGCTGAGACTGCTGTTATCTTACTGCTAAACATGAAAACAGTTCCAGGTTAATTTGAACACGCATCACAACCATACACGCAAACACAAGAATTTCCGGCAGTCCAACAAAAAAATTCTGATGCTATCTACAGCTGTGAGATTGTTTACAAAGCACAACATACAACAACACAGATAACATTAAATGAGTAGAATGTATTTACATTGTCATATATTACTAACACTAGTACATACAAGTGCATGATTGGGGCTCTGGTAAAAAATTAAATTAAAAAAAGATCAGAAAGGCACGTCCTGGTTGTCACACTAAAGACAAGGAGACACTTAAATACAGATCTGATACACAGCAGAAAAAAAAACAGTTTCACAGCTGTACGGTTCATCAAGAACCTATAAGAACCTGACGTGACAATTCATTGACCAAAATCAGAGCTGTCCATCATTGAGGTGTGCAGTTTCCAGCCTTAGGTTTTCAAATGCTTAGAATGCAAAAAACTCCTCATACAGCATGTCCGATGTAGTATTTAAGTGCTTTCTTTTACTTAGTAAGCTCAGAAGCATAATATGATGTAAAAAGAGTAAAAAGCACATTAAAATCACCCCAAGACCGAACCTAAAACAAGTTTCTGTCTGCAGACTTTACAAACGTTGTCAAAATGCAAGAATAATGCTACAAAATAACAAAGAAATAAAAAAGTTAAAGGCATAAACAAATGCACATTTAAAAAAAAAAAAATTACAAAAATCTTAAAAAAAGAAAGAAAAATAGTAAAGGAAGTGTGCATTTTTAGAGTCCTTTTATAAATACAGGACATCAAAGGTGATTACTCCATCAGATCTGACTCATTCTCTGAATGTATTTCAGTTATGAGGAAGTTTATGTTTTACATACTTGTTCCAGAAAAAAGTCAGTTGACTGTTGCCTTTCAGATAATAACAGGTTTGGCATGATGATGAAATCAACTGTCGCAGTTAAACAAGGTGCTCCTCCTACAGTGCATGTAGATGTATATATGTTAACTGCATAAGCGATAGAAAAAATATCAGTGGTCACTCAATTTAAGTGATGCAAAGTTGATATGCACGTAAGGGTCTACAGCTCCATGCTTGGGACAGTTTAGATGTACGTTTGCAGATGCTTTCAGGGTTTGTGTTGTTTTTCGCTGAAACGGTGTATGGTAACACAGCCATGGTAGGAGATGGGACGAGGCATAGCAGCCGTGCATGTGATGATGCCAGAGGCCGGGTCGTAGCACACAATATTGTCAGAGGCTTCGCCGTTTTCTCCCCGTCCACCCAGGATGTAGATCTTTTCATTACAAATGGACATACCGCAACTCTCCTAAACACACAGAAACAATTATAGAATCAGTATACGGTACTAAATGACAGGAACTTTGAGGTTTTCACTAGGCTTCCGGTACCTGTCTGCTGAAGGTGTGGCCCACATGCATCCAGTGGTCCTGTGAAGGATCGTAGCAGTAGATGGACTTGGTGAGGCCACCGCATACGTAGATGAGGTGATTGAGAGAAACGGCAGAGATATTGGGTTTGGTGAAGGGAATAGATTCCTTCAGCTGCCAGCTGTCTGACTCTGGGTCATAACACTGGACCTAAAACACAATGGAAAAAGGTTGTTTTATAATCTTGAAAAGTCTTAAAATTCTAATACTATTTCATACTAGTTAGTTATTTTTAGTATTATGTATATACTATTATTGTAATTTTCTGAATCAGTGTTTATATACAGTTTTCATTTATTATAGTTTCAATATTAGTTTTAGTCATTTTCATAGATGTGGAAATAGACCCTATTACAAGGGTGAATAAATAACTGGTTGTTTCAATAAGTTTTGTATAGTATTTTCTTTACTCTTTACTTCAAAAACTATGTCTATAAAGGTTAATATTTTATGTATTTGAAGTCTGAGATGTGGGAACGGTGAAAAGAGAGAGAATATATTCAATCTTAATTTTTGTAAAATGTTGCAACAAGATGTTAAATAATTTTTTTTGTTTTGTTAAAAATTACAGTTTTGGACATATGTGACCCTGGAGCACAAAACCAGTCTTAAGTCGCTGGGGTATATTTGTAGCAATAGCCAAAAATACATTGTATGTGTCAAAATTATCGATTTTACTTTTATGCCAAAAATCATTAGGATATTAAGTAAAGATCACGTTCCATGTAGATATTTTCTAAATTTCCTCCCATAAATATATCAAAACATAATTTTTGATTAGTAATATGCATTGCTAAGGGACTTCATTTGGACAACCTTAAAAGCGATTTTCTCAATATTTAGATTTTTGCAACCTCAGATTCCAGATTTTCAAATATTGTCCTATCCTAACAAACCATACATTAATGGAAAGCTTATTATTCAGCTTTCAGATGATGTATAAATCTCAATTTTAAAAAATTTACCCTTATGACTGGTTTTGTGGTCCAGGGTCACATTTAAGGTAATAAAAAAATATATATTTTTAAATACCTTAAAGTAACTACAAATGAGCATGTAAAGCAAATAAATAAATAAATTCTGTGTGGAGCATATGCCCTCGATCCACACAATGTTCTCACCTTTTCCCCCTTTACCTGTTTGCATCTCTGCATTTTGTATGTATTTTTGTTATTTTATCACATTCTGTCAATAGTTTTTCTTTTGTATTTCTATTTTTCAGTAATTTTAGCACTTATTTAGAACTTATTTCAGTTACCTGCCAAGGCAAAGTTTAAGTTCTTCATCCAATATTTCTACTTTACTTTATTTCAGCTTAAGTAACAAAACAATTATTTTAAACTGCATCAGTTAACAATAACAGCATTGGGTCTTACTTTTCAGTTTATGAACTTCATTTATTTATTTATTTTTGTTTGTTACTTTGACACTTTATTTAGATGGGGAACAAATCTGTGAAGTACTTTACATAAGAGATTTTGTCAATGAATCAAATCAATGTATATAAATTGCTATATATGTATATATATATATATTTATTTCACAACCATCATAACCTCCTATGTGCAGAAATTAAACGCAAACATTCCTGAATACATGAATATGCAGGTGTTATAACAGTGATCAAACACCATAGTCATAATCTCTCTGTAAATTCCTCATAGTCATCAGCACAATATCCTATTTAATGAGCTGAAAGCAGAGTACAGGCCCTGAGGGCGAAAACCAGAACAAACTGGTAAATCTAATATTTGCACTCTTCGGTGCAAACATCTTTCTCTGTGCTGGCTGATGTTGAAAGATTGACAATATGGATGCCACTGAAGACACGCAAACTGACAGAGAGTAAAGATATATTGTCAAAGAGACACCATTTGGAAACTCTCAGATGACAGATGCAGCACTTATATGGAGGAACATGCAGCATTTTGTATAAGAGAGCTTTGTATTAAACTATATCAGATCCTTCCCTTTCATGTTTTTCTCTTTCTCTCTCTTTCTGTTCCAGATGGCAAGTAAAGAATGCAGTAATCTGAGCACTGGAAAATCAATGAGAGAAACCCATGTGAGATGTTACCCGAGATGGCAGCAGTGTCTGAGGACAATAAGCTCAGAATGCAGGCCCACCTGTCCACTAGGTTATAGACCACCTGCACAAAACACACATTCACTACCCATCTGCCGTTAGCAGCCCTTCTGTTCAAAGAGATGCCCATATTTTAGGGGTCACATGAGGAACGTTACAGGTGAGTTCAAAAGTTCAAATGTTCAAAAGTCTGGGGACAGTTTAGATTTTCTTCTTTTCTATTTATCAAAGAATCCTGAAACAAATTGCGGTTTCACAAATGTATTAAGCAGAACAACTGTTTTCAACATTGTTAATAATAATAATAATAATGTTTCTTGAGAGCATCAAATCAGCATATTAGAATGATTTCTGAAGGATCATGAGACACTAGGAATAAACTGAATTAGCAAAATAAATTTAAAAAGAAAAAAAATATTTCAAATGTCAATAATATTTAAAAAATATTAATGTTTTTACTGTATTATTAATGCAATCTTGAGACTATTTTTTAAAACAAAATCTTACTAAAATTGTTGAACGATAGTTTACATGGGAAAAAAAAATTACATTAAAATTAAATTTAGTCAAATATAAGACAAACAGTATGACAAACCCTAGTGAGCGACCTCGCTGGCTGTTGAGATGGGCATGCTATCTTCTAAAAAAGCATTGTAACAAAAAAACAAAACAAAACTCAAGTGACAAATGGTTCATATGAAACCAGTCAAAAATGTCTCCCAGCCTGATCAGGCTGGTCTTTTAGCTGGTTTTGGTGCATGTTGCAGCTAGTCAGGCTGGGAGAACTGCTTTACCAGCAAACCAGTTCAGCCTAATCAAAGTACATCGCTCACTAGGGTTGAGAGCAGAGCCGGTGTTACAGGTTGGTTAAACTCTCTGCTGCACTGGTTATGGTCAATTTGCTTCATAAAGGCATCATGTTAAACAGAAAAATCAGATGTGGTTATTGCAGAAATGAGGGATGTGAGCTTTTTCTAGCAGAGACAAAAAAAAAAGTTTTTATTTGATAAAAGGCCTCACCTAAACAAAAAGGTTCAAGGTTTTCCTTTTCAAGACACCTACTCAAAAGCACTATTGCAGGAAGGGTCTGCCAGCATTGCAAAATCACCAGGCATAAGTTGCACTATAGGTGTTCTAAATAAAGAACAAAGACCAAGTTTTTTGGTTTCATAGATGAGCTCGGTCTAATTTTATATTGTGGGTGTGTTTAGCACTGTTTCACACTCACCTTATTGGAGCAGCTGTTTTCATAGGGTTCTCCTCCAATGACGAAAAGCTTTCCCGCACAGCTGGTGACCGCCGGGCAGGAGACGGCTTCTTTCATGGGGGCCACCTCAGTCCAGCGGTTGGAGAATGAGTCGTACACCTCCACATTACTGAGACAAGACTGCCCATCATAACCTCCAACTGCATACACCTGCAGGATACATACACAGATATGTTTACCTTGCTATCTTAATGAATACATGTAGATAATCCAACCCTAAAAGAAAAGGGGGGGGGGACTCTCATTCTGACAGCACCCATTCACTGCAGAAGATTAATTGGTGAGCAAGTGATGTACTGCTAAATTTCTCCAAATCTGTTCTGATGAAGAAACAAACTCATCTACATTTTGGATGGCCTGAGGGTGGGTACATTTTCGGCGACAGAGATCTAACATAAGCACCACTTTTCCCTGGCTTTGGTGTTTCTCTGTAGCTGTTCAAAGACAAGCACTTGTCGTATCCTCTCCACAAACAGCTTTATTCTCAAACTGACACAGCAGAGGAAGTGTGGAGGGGCCACGATGATAATGTAATGACAATGACCCACATTAAAGCTGTTCAACAGGAAACCTGTTCAACAGAGAGGAGAAACAGATCGCAGTTGCCTAAGGCCTAAGATCACATGTAACGTAAACACACATACAGACTGATGACCTCTAACCTCAGAGGCTAAAGTTCTCTTATTCATACTCTCTGATGATTTAAACCCTGTCCTACCCTGTCTTCACTGATTAAAATGAAATCCATAACCTTATATTTATTCATTAATAAAAGGAAAGTAATTGTATCCATACCAAAATGTTATATGTGCGTCTTCTTCCATGATAAATATATATGGTGATTACTGGCTAGTTGAAGTTGCAATCTTGCTTGGTGTAAAAAAAAAAAAAAAATTAGATCACGATTTGAACCCCGCCGTCTCTGCACGCTAAAAACTTGCAAGTAATTTTATACGGAACTGCACAAACAAGATATGAGAATGAAGTAGATGGAATTAAATTATGTAAGATATGCTATCAAACATGATTTCCTACCATCTACCCGTACATGCATTCATCATTGTTTTATCTTGCTTGAACTGTTTTTCAGCAAAACACTAGGGGTTCTTCGGGAATGTCAAAGAAAGAGACTCATTTTTCAAAGGATCACCAGGTGAACTTAGTTATTACGGAGTGAGACCAAGATGGCTGCCTGATCAGATGTGTTTGTGCGAGCTCTGGCACCAACTGTGCTTAGAGCAAAAACACTTTTAATTAATTGTATGCTGTGTGTGTTTTGTTACATCTTTGACTTGAAGTTTTCTTCTGTATTGCATTGCCATGTAGTGTAAACATGGTCCTTTGAATTACTCTTCGGTCAGTGCTAATGTGGCTAACATTAGTAATAACGCGTGCTCACCAGCCAGCGGTGGTCATGATTGCATTGCTTCTTGCGCGAGCGAGGAAGATATGTTCACTTTAGCTGAAGAGGAGTTCCGAGTCACTCAGAGTAAATCGCCGGTCACAAAGAAAAGAGCAAGTGACGTCACTCGAGCTGACATCTCGTCACAGCTGTTAGGAAAAACACAGATGATCAACAGCCGCTCAGATGGAATAGAAAAAAGATCTCGGGCATGTCAGCCAAATTGAAGGTCATTGTTGAGAAGGTTACTAGTCTTGAGCGGCGTATGGATGATGTTGAACGGCCTGTGGCTCATACGATATGTTGCAAATTAAGTTGGATGACTTGTATAAATTAAGAACAGAAGGTGCTTTCAAAAGGTCAAGGCAAAGGTGGCTTGAACGCAGAGAACAGATGTCTTTCTATTTTTTTTTACTTAAAACAGGGATAAACACAATTTTATTTGTCAATTAAATATTGGAGGGATTGTCTCAGAAAATCCTAAAGAAATTTCCCAATTTTGTCAATTTTTACTCAAATTTGTACGAATCTAAATTTAATCTAGCTGATTTGGATACTTTCTGTAAGCATCTTGGTAATGTTAATTCTATTAATCAAGATGATTAAAACATTTCATGTGACTCACCAATTACTGTTTATGAGGTTAAGGAAGCATTTTTTTTAAAATTCTAGCTAGTTTTCGAATGCTTCGTATTTTGTATTTTTATGAAAAGTTGGTTTGATAAGGATATTGTTTTAGTTTGTCATTTCTTTTAGCACTTAAGGGTATCTCATGAAATATGAGTTTCTTACTTAAATTTTCCTATGACTCCCAAGGAATTTTCTTTTGTCTCTCTTCTTCCATAATCAATCAAACTGATACAATATGTGTTCGATTTGTTCCCCTGGCTTCATAATGTCTGGTGTACTGTTTTGCGTTTGTCGTTTAAAGCATTAAAAAACATAGTAATTATGGTGACCCAGTAGTGCACAACGAAATTAGTCCTAAGAGTTGTGTTGTGGCGATTTTATTGTGTTGTGGAAAATTCGTGCTGTGCTGTGGACTACTAGGCCACGGTTAGAAATGCATTTGGCATGCAAACATGGCCATAAACAACATATACACACAAACAATGCAAAATGAAATGCATTAAAAAAAAACCTAAGGTAAAAAAATTGGAAGACTGAATGAAAACATTTAAAGGGACAGTTCAATGAAATACAAATTCTGCAGCATCATTTGCTCACCCTCATGTCAATTGAAGAAAACATCATAAATGTTTCAGAACAACATGAGGGCGTAAATGTTAACAAAACTTATTTTGGGGTGAACTGTTTCCTTCAAAATGGAAACTCATTTCAGTCCTCCCTCTAAAGAGCTACAAACATCCTTAAAACCAAGCAAATGTGTCTGTAAACAACTATAGAGAAGGATGGGCACACACACACAGACACACATACACACACACACACACACACACACACACACACACAAAAGAGAGAATTACAACAACCGTTTTCCAAGAAAATAAAAAGTCTCAAGAGAGCATTTTGTGTATGTCTCTCTCTCTCTCGTTATGTGTATGAACAGAAAACGTACTACATCCAAGCAGGCAGCACATTACACCCCTTGCATGTGTAATAAAATGCATGTGTTTAAAACATTCACAAACTCTCAAAATAAAACACCAAAAGACTATCATAACAAAACATGAAACATGAAAAGCCCACAAACAATTCACAGGAAGTGAAGCATGATTTTCCATAAGACAAACACAACACACAATAACTAGGGCAGCTAATTTCTACAAAATTATCAGTTAAATGGAAACAGCACAATCGGATTACAGCTGTAAACATTTTTTCATAACAACAGTCCTAAACACACTTAAACCCTGGTTACTAAAATACAGCATTTTTTTGCGCTTATATGTAATGGTTAGTTTTGTGCTGTAAAAAACTTAAAGCTTATTTCTCTTACTCCACAGCCAAAGTGTTTTATCTTGTTTGAAGCATAAACCACAAAATAATTTATTGCATATATGCTTAAAAACATGCCAATTGGGTAAGAAAAAAAATATTTAAAGTAGAGCAAACGTTAAGTGTATCAATCTGAAATATTTGAAGATAATTATAAGAAAGAGAAGAGAAAATTTGAGTAATTTCAATACAGGGTTAATTATTTTAAGGAAAAACAAAGGAACAAATGTGGGGGGCGGGGCTACAAAAAGCCAAAATCATATTTGTCCATTAACAGCCATTCAAAAATAGCCATGTATTTGAAACCAATTAAACTGATTTTTCCCAAGCAATACTTAAAATACAAATATTTACTTACATTAGATGTTTTATCAGTGCAACCCAAAGGTGCAAATCCTGCATAATTTTCTCCATACGGTCACAATGCACTAAAGGAAGTGTGCTTTTGATTTAGGAAATGGGACACTGGGACTTGAAGCACACACACACACAGACAGACACACACCACTCCCTCTCACCTTCCCCAGTAGGACGGTCATCTTGTGTCTCCATCGACCCTTATTTAGAGAGGCCACTCTGATCCAGATGTTGAGCTGAGAGTTATACATCCAGACGTAACTGCTGTTGATGCGTCCACCTGTAAATAACAACCACAACATTAACAACAGCATTAGCAAGCTGTGTGTGTGTGTGTGTGTGTCAACTTAATCATATTTACCCAAAAATGAGCTAAAACTGACAAACCCTCCCTTTGGACGATATCCTTATTTGTAGAAAAAAATATAAAATAAAAAGTAAAAATGCAAAAGTTTTCTGTGAGGGTTATTTCTAACTGCTCAGAATAAAAACAATACAAGTCTATGGAATGACCCTATTTAGACAAGCGAGTGTTGTTATTGTGAACAAAAAACTTGTTTAACTGAATAAATCTGAAATAGAATACATTTAAAATATTTTATATGAACAATTTAAATGAAAATGTAAAAAGCTGCTTTGGCATATATGTGCGTGTGTGTGTGTGTGTATATATATATAT